CAGTGGCAAAGAATAAATTTATCCTTCACTACCTATCCAATAAATGGACCTGTGCAGTTAAATCATGTAGGCTGAAGGCAGTAATCCTATTGTTAAAGAAAAAAGTTTGATCCATGTTGCTAACACTGCCCTATTATGATAAGATCTGAATCTATTCTTAAAGTTGTCTTACAACTTACTGTGCTCTCTTTGTAATTTCTAATTGTCATTTCTATACATTTTATTAAGAATCTTGACCACTCGTTTCATAATGAAAGTTTTGTGCCTCTTACTACAAGAACCTGAAATGAAGTCAGCTTCAGCTCAACAAGCTTGGGCAACAGTTCTTTTATATGGCACACACAGAAGCAAATGTTCTAGAATTCAAAAATGTGCCTTGTGCTAAATTTAGCATTTCCTACATGCATTACCTTTTCTCGTTGTCCATAGTGGTCTGCATACCAAACCATTCCATACAAACATAGGAAAGTAGTAACAGCCTGCAACATTGGAAGAAGAAAGGAAAAGAAACTTTAATCCTTAAAGGATGTGTACCTTTCTTTCAATAAGTACCTCCCAAGGTGGCTTACAATGCACTGTTTGTGCAATATTACTGTTCAATGGAGGAGAACAAAGTACAACAAAAATTGAGGCTCATTTTTTAATATTAACATAGGAACATTTCCATTACAAGCTTGATTAATTTTATGCCGTATTCAATGAGCTGCCTTCCACCAAAGAATCCTAAAACTGCAAATAATGAGGAGACTGAAATTCTGTTAGAAATCCTTAGCTTTCTCCACAGCTTAATTTTGCAGTCTAGATAAAGTCATACAGCACATACATATGTAAGACTATTCAGGCATAAAGTTTATTACAGCGCAATCCGACAGTCACTAGGAGTTTCTGGAAACCAAACTCTGAGGTTGCAAAAGCATTCCAACCTCATGGCTGAGTCTCAGAGCTGTGTGAAAAGAGTTGGTTGTATCTGTGAGGTGCCAAGAGCATGGGGTGGGAAGGGAAGGGGACAGATACTGACACAACATGAAGTATCCTGCCGGTGCTTCAGCCTTCTTCCCTCGTGCTCTAAGGTGTGACATTTAGAGAGCTGAAATGGGGGACCATGGAGGTGACCTTTACCTCCACATTCCTTTTGTCTTCAATAAAAGGATTCCAAGTGTGGAGAGTTCCAGGGCTAATATATGGATGGGGTGGGTAGGAACATGACTACTAGCTCCATACACTTTACTGTGTACCTCACAACCTTGCCACTTGGATGTTTATGTGTTGACTGTGATGGGGAACTCTTCATATATACAGCTATATCCAGGAAAACTCCACATAGTCAGTACACACATATACGTTTTGCCTTTGCAGATATTTACATCTGTCTGCAGATGCCCAGAAGGTGGGGTGGAAGTTGCATGACATCAGCAGTGGGGCCAGGAAGCAAGTCTCATTTCCAGTGGATGGCATTTCATTTTGAGCTCCTGGGACCTTAGTCCAAGATCCAGGTACACCAAGATCTGCCTGTATCCAAGATACAGGCTGATCTTGGAATACTTCTCACTCTGTCCCACAGTGCTCAAATGGTTAGAAACCACTGCCTGAAAGATCTTTTGGCTTTGTGCAGATTGTACAATTTCCCTTGGAAGAAAAACTGGAAATATATTTAGGAACACACATGAAAAGTTCATAGAAAAGGTTACTCTATTGCTATTTTTAGGCTGTTTCAAACTGTATTTTTTTATTATTATTATTATTTTTGTTGTTGTTGTTATTGCCGCTATCACTGTTGAAGTTTGAAGGGCAGAAAACAAAAATCTTTAAAAATTAAACCCACCATGAATAAAAGTGCCATCAAATCAAACAAGTTAGGCTTGTACCCAATTGAAAAAAACTGAGTCCGTCAGATGAGAGTAACAGTGCAGTGCTATGCATGTCCAGCAGAAAGTTCCGTCTCGTGTAGTTCAGTGAGATTACTTAAAGGTAAGTGTTGACAGGCTTGCAGCCTTGGTCTATCAAATAATCAGTTTATATATTACATTTGTGTATGAGAAACTCAATAGTTCTGTATTTTCCTTTTTCCTAGATGACATGCACTTCAAAGCAGACAATATCTTAAGATACATTCTCTGTAATATGAGAGAAGATGGAGAGTACCCTTTGTAAGATGACATTTCCATCTGAAGTTGGGATACTTACCGGTATGAATTTAAAAAGTAACAAGGAGCTGCACCTTGTTAGCCAATTACTCTTTTTAAAAAATCAATCTAAAAATAAATACTAGAAGGAAACAGCAACCACTGGGAAGTAAACATTATAGTTAATCCTTAATATAACAAAAGTTCTGAAACATGTGTGCAAAATAAAAGAAAAAGGTGCTTACCACACAAAGGAGCCAAAACACCACATACAATATTTGTGTTTTGGAGAAGAGTTCTTGACCAAATTTGATGCATACAATAGCTTCAAGGAAACCAATAACTCTTGAGGCAATGACAAAAGAAATATAATGTTTTTAGTTACACACAACACATTTTACAGTATTTTCTTTTGCAGCATTATTCAGTTTTTTACCATACTTTTTTTAGGGAGGGAAAAGCAAGATTTGGTGACCATCTATAAAGTAGTCTGGACCTTTAACATTTTTTAAACTACACCTCTATGTTTGCCTCACTTCTCCCTCTTTTAATAAATATTCCCATTTTGTTACACTTGCTCTCTTTCTTCCCACAATGTACTTTATGGATGGTTCCATAGAAACATTTTATGCATTGGTAAAATTTGCATTGTAATTTGCAATGTAATTTGCAATGTAACCCTACATTGACCAGAATTTTAATATCCATTACAAAAGTCTCTTTTTAAAGACCAGAATATACCATATTGTCATCACTCCTTCCCACAAAAAACACTGGTGGTGTGTGCCACCAGGGTTGTAAGCGAAACAAGGTTGCTAAGAAACAAGAGGGAAGTATCAGCACGCTTGGGGTAAAATAGAGATTTGCAGAAGTAAAAAAGAACTTTTTAAAAAATGCAAATACAGGCAATGATAATTTAGTCATAAAGTCAACCTATGGCATCTCCTGTTAAGAAAACCCCTTGAGAGACAAAAAGAAGTTGGTATGAAAGCAACAATGAACACCTTCTTCCATGGGAGCCACCACAGCACATAAGATAAGATTCTGCTTGACTTATCATTTTATGAGAAGGTGCATTATTCTATGAAGAAGCGCTCATAACCGGGCCTTCGGAGCTCTGTCAAGAAAACGCCAAATAGCTTCCTGCTCAAAGATGAGCAAAACTGTTATGTTGGCCATTCAAAAGCATTTGCTTCCTTTGCTTTTTTCTTCTTATATGGTTTCATTGTAGTACAATCTTTTTTATTGTTGTCTGATGTCATTGCATGAATGATTTTGAATAGCATGTGACTTTTCACAGCATAGGGACTTATGATTGAAAAGAGAAATATGGAATGATTAGCCAATGGGAATGACATTCCTGTTGGCTTGTTAGGGAATAACAAGAAATTTCTGCAACAGTAACCACCATGAGCCGTCCAGAGACGCAGAGTGATGGACAGCCTAGAAATATCTCAAATAAATAAATAAACACTCAGACATAATATAATCTCAGTAAAGAACCTAATAGGAAAGATAACTTTTGAGTCAAAAAGTATAACCAAATATTTTAATTCTAATGCTATAACATCATAAGATGTAGCTAAAACTTTGATAAGCTAGTATAGCCTTGTTTACCGGCCTTGAACAAGCATGCGATGATGGGAGATAGATTTCACAATTGTTCTTAATTATGCTTTCAAAATATAGCAGTCTTTAGAACATAAAGAATACACCCCATCCCTGCTCCAGTTAGGATTAACTAGAGGACCAGTGAAGTTTTCTTCTATTCCAGGTTGAATTTGTTTTGGTTGGTTGGTTGGTTTACTTGTTTGTTTTTTTGGGGGGGGGGGGGTTGGCCTTTTCTGCTGAACCATTAGCAAACTTACTTTGCAGGTCTCCATTGACCAAAAGGATTCAAGTTAACACACAACCAAATTTTATTAATTTGTTTGCAGATGATATTTTTTTAATACTATCAAATCCTATTAGGAGGTTAACAATGACAGTGCAGGTAATAAAACACTTTGGAGAAGAGGCAGGAATGCAAATCCACTACAGAAAAACTAGCAGTTTGTGTATAAACTTGGTTAATAGAAAGTACTTAGTTTTGGGAATAAAAACAGAAATACCCATGGTGACTAAGATATGAAAATATTTAGGAGTAATTACACCAGTTTATCTGTCAAAAATGATAAAATTAAATTAGCAACCAGTACTGAATATATTAAACAAACACTGAAACAACTGTCCAAACTGAGCTTAAAATGGTTGGAATAATTATGGTGATTATAATGAAATCATTACCAAAATTAACACTTGTATTTCAAACATTACCTTTGACTTTACCTGAGCAAATGTTAAGACGCGGAAAATGCTATTACCAAAACTAGGTTCAGTGCAAATATTGTGGTTACCATTACATACTGAGGCTTAAGAATGTAAGAAAAATCATGCTGGATCAGACCAGAGGTCCGTCTAGTCCAGCACTCCATACACATGGTACCCATAGGATACCTCAAGCAGGATGGGTGCAAGACCTCCACCTGACCAAGCTCTTCAGCAACTGGTGCACGGCAGACCTGCTACCTCAGGTAAAGGAGGTCGCACAAAGCCAGAAAGGCTGGCAGCCACTGACAGCCTCCTCCCCCATGATCTGTCATAGAGGGGGGAAAAGTGTACTGAAGATAATACATTACATCACTAAAGCAACACTCTGGTACCTCCATAAAATTGGAGATATGGAGCCACCACAGGCATCACCTGCATTTGTGGTGGGACTCTTCACTGGTGCAATGGTCTGCTTTAGCCAGTGAGACTACACAGAAAGATATAGCACTATCTTTATATGGACTCTAATACACAAATAAGGCATAAATTGAACTTGATTTTTTTCTGAATGGAGCCAGATTGGTTATAGCTTCTAACAGGAAAGCAGCAAATGAATTTTCTCTTAAAATATGGAAAAAGAAACTTTGGGAACTTGCATTAATGGAGAAATTCATTCAACATCTTCAGGTTAAAAGAGATCAAATCACAAGTCTCAATAGATGCCATGGTCCTCACACACCTCCTTGCATTTCATCAAGGTGTACATAAGATGACTTTCTAACCTATCAATGCCCAGTAGTCATAATGACTAGATTTTATTGCCAACATTAGAAACAGTTCACACAATCACAAAAATAAACTGCAGTGGCTTATTTTTCCTGCTGTACGTCAAGGGGAAACGTCTACCTTTATGCCAAAGGAGTGAGCATAACCCTTGCCAGAACTTGTCCTACCATGTCATGTGACACCATCTGTCCACGGTGGCTTGCAGCTATGGGTACAAGCTGACCAGAACCATGGACTGGGAGAGTGGGAACAGAATGCTGGCCTACACGGGTTTCTGGTATAATCCAGCAGGGCTCTTATGTTCTTAGATCAATTAGTGGGAGAGGAGTGTCATTTGAACTTTTTGGGCACCAAAAAAATGACAGTATTATAGTTGAAAAATATTATTCAGGGTAATGATATATTTGGAAAGAGTCTCCTTTTTTTGGTTTGAAGTGGAACTAATGTTAGCTGTTTGAACGACATTTAGAATGAGACTTTGAAGATGGATCAGACACAGAGCAAGTGACGACAGCGAAATGTTCCTGAACAAGGCCAAGTCCACAGTTGACATTAAACTGTTTAACATTTGCCAAAGGCGTGAAGCAGGAGTCCCACAGCTCCTATTAGCTCAGCACGACCTTCCCTACAAGGGCAGACTGTACTGATCTGAACACTGCTATTTCTGTAACTTCATGATAGGAAAAAAAATTCCTTTGAAAGTCTTTGATGTTTTTACTCTGATCTGTTTCCTTTCCTCTGATTTTGTTTGTGTGCAAGAGACAGAACACACAATAGATTCAAGAGGATTATGGAAAACTAGAAATAGCCTCAAAATTATCGAGCTCAGCCCAAGCCAGATTATTTCACACACCAATGTCATCATCCACCCAGTTTCAACAGATAATCCATGCTACATAGTGTCACGAGCAGAACCAGTCAAGCTGTTGCAAGATGGCAAAAACGATAGGTAAGGAAAACAATAACTTAGGGTGAAAACCTATGACGGTTGGGGAATGATGTGAGTTGTGGGATATTCTTCTGTCTGTACATGCATAGGGTTGCATTTGAATAGGGTTAAAATTAAAGCTTAAAATTGTAACTTAAATTTGAGGCAGTAAGAATCTGAGATTTGTTTCTAGAGACTGTTTGGAAGAAAACAAACTTCTAAGCTATTTGTCAGCCTCAGTCCATGCTCTGAAAACAAGCAACAGCAACTTTGCATCATGGTCTGGTTAAGGAATCTATCTGGAATCCTACACATGCCGTCCTGCATTCCACCCAAGGCAGACAAAAAATAAACGTAAGAAATATATAAAACAAAGTTTCTCTTCTCAAGGAGCCTTGGGGAGCAAAGTTTTCTCTTCTTACTGCATTGCATCAAAGAGTCTGAACACTTGTAGCCACAACAAAAACTTACCCAAACACCCAACACTGAGTTCCTACCCGTTTGCACTGTGTGTCTGTAAGGTAAGCATAGTACTGTCTGGAACAAGAAATGGACAAAAAAGAAGGGGAAAAGCAGTGAAACAACATATAATTACATATTAAGTGAGGCTTCTAGGACAGGAATGCACAACAAAGAGGATTCACAACCACTACCACTGCTGGGCACTCCACAGGGCAGATGGTGAGTGTAACCAACCCCCCCCCCCAGAAGCCATCACTGCCCCTGCCTCTTTGCCCACCATTTTAGCCTTTCGCAGGGGTGGCAGGGGCTTGGCTACTCAGGGTGCCCCGAAAAGCAATTTGGCCTTTAGCTAGACGGTGCAGCAGCTCTTCCAAGAGCTGGCCGAGCTCCCACTGGCCTGCATCCCAAGTGTTTTCTCCACCCTGAGACTTAACAGTGGGCACTCACTCCAAAGAGAATTCTTTCAGGGGTCAGGCCTTGGAAGAACCCAAGGAGGCTTCACAGGCTGGATTAGGCCCATGAGCCCTGATCTAGGATGACTGCCAACAAAATAAACAAGCAATCACACTGAAAGCCAAAAAGAGAGGTTCCCTGCATGACCAGTAAATGTCTTTATATATAATCTTAACTGTCAAGCTAACACAGCATTTGTATAACAGGTGCTGAAATCTGGTAAATTATACAGTGAAGAGAGATGTACAACTGAGAATGAAAAAGTACGCAGAAAAGTCAGGTAGCATGCCACTGGAATCTCTTGGTTTACTGAAATGCAGAAGGGCACAAAGTATACACAGTTCTAACTTTAAATAGCAAATTTAATTTTTAATTTTATGTATTTGTTAATTTATTTTAGTTAAGGGTCTTTTTGAAGTTGTTTCTTGTGTTAAAAAAATCTCCTGAGATTTGAGTGAGGAAAGGAGAAAACCATGTTCAGACATAAACTGTGCAATATACTAAGTATGTAAGTAACTTATATACTAAGTAGTAAGTTCTTTTGCATTTAGTGAGACTTGATCCTAGATAAGTGGACTTAGGATTGGAAAGCTGTTCCAAATGAGGACTGGTATCTTTTGAATAAAGGAAACTAAAGCTTGCAATTGTTTGGACACTTGACTGGGAGTATTCTCCAATGAACACAGTGGGACTCTCTTCTGCATGAGGCTGCACTACCCAGAATTATGTGATCTGAATGTGAGCAAGAACTATGTTCAGAAATGGCAATATGGCAATGCTGGTTCAGACCAGCATTGTGTGAACAGGAAGCAAAGAATTGTTGGAACCACCAAATATTAATACAAGCTGTCCGATACATTTTGTGTTATCTAACTGCCTAACATCTTCCTGAGCCCCAGGGGAGAATGCTGCCTACACTTTACCATATGGGTCTCTTTGGACATACCAATAAATCACAACGTAGCAGGACATGCTTTAGCTAGTCTCGGGTTCATGTGCTCCCCACTCTTCCCCTCCTCCAGTGTTGCTGCAGTGATGGAGATCAGAAGCATTTGTTTTCTATTTTAAAACAACTAGACTTTCTTGTTACATCAGAACTCAAATAAGGCAGGATTTTACTGTGTCTTGTTTAAAATCAACCAGAGTTACCTCAATTTCAAAATAACGAAAAACTCAAAGGTAGAAGTGTCTTCCAGTCTCACGGGTGTGCCAATGAGGGGAGTGGCCAAGCATGAAACCTGCTGATGCTTTTCCATGTGATGCTAAATGATGATTTAGTGCTATGTCCAAACCAACGCTGTAACCCGAGCAGCTCGAGGGCTAGATAGAGGCTTGCTTTTTGCCAGTAACAGCTAAGACATTAAGGGACAGTGCTAATCCCTTCTAGTCACTCTAAAGCTACAACTCAGTCATGTTTCCAAGCCACTTTTACCAAGCCAACCAAGGTGAAACAAAGAAATATATTACCTCACAGTTGGTGCTGTAATTATTCCAATGAAAAGGATCCTACCCCAACTTAATGGGTGACTTGCTTGGAAAACAAAGATATGCTTCAAGAAAAATGTGTTCAGTTCAGTCAACTAAAAAGGGGCAAGAAGAAAAGAACAACATTGCAAACATTGTACATTCTGAATAAACAGCGCTGACAGGACTCTTCTTTAGTAACCTGCTTATACTGCGTGGCACTGTGGGTACACCTTATGCAGGATCTGTGGTGTTTCTTTCTGCATTAATTATGAACTCGCCAATAGAATAATAGTATTTTGATTTGCTGGGTAAATCAATGGGTTTAAATGCCTCCATTTTGGAGACAGAAATACCAGTTCTCCTCCCTTTTCTCCCTTCCATCCTTCTCTCTCTCTGCGTTTCGGTATATTGGAGCCATACAATTTGTGAAGCTTCTCTACTTTTCTTGACCAATGTAATGCAGTTTATTATACCCAGACTATGACAATGTGGGGGACAGTTTTCCATCCAGTGGTATTTCCATATCCTGTGAATATTTGTATCATCTTCTACAAGTGCCTTAGCAGTAGAAGTAGCTGGGTGTCCATATCTCAACCCATTTTGCTCTAAACCAGGGGTCTCAAGCTCAACTTACCTGGGGGCCGCTGGAAGTAGAGTCTGGGTGAGGCTGGGCCGCATGAAGTATTCCACCACCGCGGTGGTGGTAGGCCATTCATCCCGTGGCCGGCCCAGGCGCCGCCGGCACTTTGAAGGCCGCAGGGCCCCTCCCCCGTGCCCCACCCGTCCCGGCAAGTGGCCCGCGTGCCGCGAGTTTGAGACCCCTGCTCTAAACAGTCTATATCATTCAGTATTGGAAGCTGAGAATTATCAGAGATCTTCAAATCTTCTTGGAGATGGGCAATGTTTCATCTTACTTCCGGGGGTAAGTAAAAGACATACTATCCAATATATAGTGACAGAGTGCCAAAATAGAGCTTATGAAGGAGAGTTTGCTGATTTCCTGGCTGTGACAAACAAAGCAAAAATTATATTTGTAATTTAGACATGTTTATACCATTTTAGATTTTATATGACATATTTTTATGCCTGTGTTTTTAAGTGTGATGTGAATGTGCCATACGATTTATATTAATTTATTTATTTTGCTTTTTACCTGCCAAATAATCATGAAGAGGTATACTCCTGCTACTCTTTGAAATGAAGATTTGGGATCAAACCAGCGAACGTAAGTCCAGCTTGCTGGAGTGAACTGTAATACAGCTCTCTTGATTTTGCCTGTAGTGGTGTGAATGTCTCTGAAAGCAAATAAACGGCAAGTGTTAAAAGAGAAGGGAAGAAACGTGCATTCCTATATATCAAGTCACAATACAACATGGTTCTACCATTGCCATTTGCAGCAAGAGGCTCCATGCACATTGCAGGAAACTCTGCACTAAGAAGAGGACCTCTGTAACTATTCTAAGTAAGCAAGCAGCTGTGGGCTTTTGTTCACACACAAGAAACTGTTTAGTACAGTTTCACTCTTATGTGCAAGTTCTCTAATACTCATTATAGCGTGGTTAAAAATCAAGAAAGAGCTGTCTTCCTTTAAAATTATTTGGATTATATTAACATAAAATCACAGAGTAAAGATCTAGTTTGTGTGCTTGTGGGTAGCAATTTGGAAAGTTGTTTATACAGTTGAATCATATATTTGGTTATATGATTAACTGCACAATACTTTACATCAGAAGTAAGCCCTACTGGATTTAACAAGGCTTCCTTCCAGGTAGGTATAGCCGAAGAAGTAATAAGGTTGCTGATGGGAATTAAAAATGAAGATCACAAGTTACTACTCTTTATTTACTTTTCTGGATATAAATAAAACAAAACATTGTAATCTGTGAACACTGTCATAATCCATGAACATCACAGGGAAGTGGATTTTTAAGAAAATCACAGTACCCACACTGATTTAGGAATTGTAAATTTTTAAAATCTTGTAAACTGTTCTAAGAGCGAAATTGGCTATGGAGGAAAAGCTTGTATAAACAAATACTTATATAAAATTTTAGGACTGGGCTCTTCCAATAAATTTTAGGACTGGGCTCTTCCCACTCTTCCAATAATACAGCCTTCAAAAACTAGGATTCTGGTTCAGAAATAGAAGAAACAGGGTTGGAATTCACATCTGAGATGCCAAGTCCAATGGACCCAGAGGTAAGACAGGCAGTTGTTGAGAATCAGACAGTTTCAAAGTTCAGTGTGAATTTCTAGCAAATTTCTAGCAAATCTCTAGCAAACTGAGCTCAGTGGGGGTGGACTTCACATCATTAGTCCAATTATGCCAGGTTAAGAGGGCAGACCAATTGAATAATGTCTGATGTTTTTGGTGAATGGTAAAGCATTATCCACCTTGAAGGCAGAGCCAGGGTTTTTTTTTGGTTTTGAAGGGAGGAAAGGTTTTTCGTTTGGAATCAACTTTGTATCATTAATGACCTGTATCCTAACTTTGCTTGTGTCTTTTGTTAATGACTTCTGCAATTCTCATCTTCGTTTTCACAAAGCCAGCCTGGCTGGCCAGCTTTAACATAATAAAGACTTTCATTAGAAAGTCTGTTGTTCTGATCTGCTTGGAAGGAAGGAAGGAAAGAAGAGCCATTCCTGGCAGAAAACTTGCACAAAAAATAGGTCTGTATGTTCTTGTGATTCCAGCCTACATAAGTAACATTAACATGCCATTTAAGATTTTGGACAGCTCTGAGTTACAAATCCTAGCAAATCCATACATTTTTAGCATTCTTCATATTATTGGGAATTCAAAAATACTAGCATTAGTACATTTATGGCAAAGTCCTATGGAGATACCCATAAGCCTCAGAACATGGAAGTTTATGGGCATCCACTGCAGAGCAGGAGAAGCAGCAGAGGCTTTTTCAGTCATCTAATAAAGCTGTTTCAGAGCAAGAGGGAAGAGGGCTGGAGCAGCTTCCAGACAGCTGCTCCAGTCTCATGTCCTCCTAACCTCCCAAATGCCCCCCTTTAACCCCTCTCTGAGATCATTTTCCTGATGCTGGAAAGTAGCTAGGATAGTTCCTTTTGTACTGGCTGCATTGGAAAGAGAAGATGCTCCAAATTTGGAGCTGGGCATCTGAATAATCCTATGGATGCCCAGATAATCTCTAGGAACTATAGGATGATGGCCAGTGATTGGACAAGTTCCAAACTTCACAACCTTCCAAATGTTTATTTCATATAGCAGTTTATTTCATATAGCAGTATCATCATATTTGAAACTTACTTGAAGCTTGCCCAGTGATAGGTCCTCATCTCCAGCCAACGGCAAACCACCATGCCCAACCAGATGCCACCCCCATTGCACAGTAGGATATCCAAAATAACTTGATCCCACCAGCATTCAGCAAAATTAGGCAGCAGGTGCATAAAGAACAGCTATGAAATACAGCAAAAATATTCTGGGTGAGAAATTCATAAAGACAAAGATATTTCTTAAACATAAACATCCTATGTTATAAAATTACAGGTGCTGAAAATAGTTCTCATATTACAGCTGAATTGGACCCAAGACTATCAACCTGTGATTTCAAAGGGCTCTAGATCAGTTCGTGCTGCTATTTTCCATTAAATTTACCCTTTTAAATCTGGCATCATGATTATTTTTTGATTACCAAGGCTGTTGGAGGAAGTGCTCCAAGCTCAGAGCTAGGAATAATCCTCTTCAAGCCAGCATGGAAAGAACACTAGCTACTCTCCAAGGTCAAGGAAACATCTTCTGAGAGCAGTAAAGGAAACATTTTGGGGATAAGAAGGGGAGGAGAGTGGAGTGGCTAGGATACAAGGCGCACCGTGAAGCTGCTCAGTCCTCTTTCCTTGCCCCTCCAAGACTAGAAGGACAGAAATGGTTGCCAAGTGCAGCAGCAGGGAGGCCTCTTCCATGCTGCACAAGAGGCTTATAGGCATCCCTATGGGATCATATCCTGTGCATACGCACTGTAACTCTTTTGTACAAGCTAGCACAGATAGGAAATTAAAAATGAATTTGAACAGTGATGGAAGCAGCATCTGCTATGCCTTCTATATCTTAAGCATCCCCTGTGCTTCAGTATGTATTGATTCATCTTCACAATTATGCTTAACAAGTATTCAAAAGTTATATACAGAATTTATTCAAAGATCAAACTATGGCTTCCAAATGCAAGCGTGACTTAGCACCATACTGCTCAACAATAATCATAGTCTTCTAGCAAATATTCAGTTTGTGAATGGAAGGATTCCTTGAGAGACTGAATTCAGCAATTCTCTGTATTTGTACTCCACAGTCTTAAACTGTCAGAGAAACATTGCTCTGAAGTGCCTGCCAAGTATGTCATACCATCAAACACCCATGGGTAAGACTTTGGATCAGGTCATTAGGAACATTATGACTTTAAGAACCAATGCAGTACACTCAAAGAGACACTGATCCACAGAGCTCTGTGCACTTTCTTAAACACAAAGTGCTATTGATTGTCACAGAATTTTGCCTGCACACGTGTGAACAAACAGTACAAGAGCAAGTTTACTGTATGAAACAGTAAACACATTTTCACTGCTGGAAGCATGCTGAAAAGATGCAGTATGTCACACAACGAGCACTTTCTGACACCATTGGAAAGGGCCCCAGTGGTTTTATACTGAAATGCAGTCAATGTACTGCAGAGAAAACTAGTAAATGTAGGGGATGGTTTAAGCAGGTTACTTTTTCCAAGCATGGGCTTCTTGATCAAATTTAACTAGCTGGAAAATTAACAAGTTGATTTGCCCTTTGAATTTGTGGAACACATATAGCTTCAAGCCCTCAGCAGAGATTTCATTCTGCTTGCTAAAGTGTCTAGCATGATCTAACAGGAAGTGCACATTACTTAATTCCTGTCCTACACTGGAGGATTATTCTTATATAACCTAATACTTTTTGACTAAGAACACACAGCTGCAGTTTCTAAAGATAATGAAAAAAATTCTCGTTTTGGTTTTGGCATTCATGTTCAATAACAGAAACCATGCTAAACTTCAGTGTGTTGATAAAGATTACAGGAACAAAAGCACTTCCATATCCTAATTATATGAGAATATTTTCAGGTTATATCAAAATGGTTGTCCCATTGTGAAATCACTTGTCTGAAATTCTTAAAAGGCATGCCTTATTATCATATGCTGCAACAGGGATAAGAACTCCATTTCTGGCTTTAATAAATGAAATAGACTTACTATACCTATCCAATAGCAAGAGTAGGCAAACCAGTATATTTTGGACTACAACTTCCCTCAACCCCACCCAGCATGACCAACAGTAAGGCAGAATGGGAATTGTAGTCAAACATGTGGAAGGTTCCTGGTTCTCTACACCTGCCATACAGTAATACTAAAGTCTACGTTTGTTCACTATATAGCCAAGTAACTGAGTATCTGCACAATCCAGTGTAGCAGCCGGCAATCCTCTGAACTCAGAGGATTATGGATTTCCAATGGATGGCAGAAGAAGCATAGAGGTAAAGGTCACCCCCATGCTTCTCCCACTCTGCAAAATATTTAGATGGCCAATTTTGGTTGTCTGGAGTCTTTGGTCCTGGAGGCTGAGGTGCGGCCAGGACACACTGTATTCTGGAGAAGCCTCACTCTTCCCCTTCTGGCTTCCTGGAATGCCCACAATGGTCGCAAGGTTGGTCTTCCAGGGTAGGGTTCCTTCCATGCTCACTGCAAAGGTGGATGGAGGGTGCTCTGAGGTAGTACTCCCAAGTCTGACCCCTGAAGCATCTTTTTAAGGTGGGAGTTAGTGCTCTGCCTTTTCCTCTAGCCAGCTAGCCGATACACAGGAAATTATTATATGCACATTAAGGCAGAACAAAGTCCCACAATTCCCAGCATTCCCTAGACAGCCAGGCTGCAAAATGCTGGCTTGCTATCAGGGAATGCTGGGCACTGCAGGATTTTCTTCCCATCTAAACATGTTTAGGATTGCAGCCTTAATTGGATATGCTGCCCTGAACATCCAAATAAATCTGACTTAGGCGTCCCAGACATCTGTGTGCAGAAGTCAACAAATGCCTGGTAAAGCCACATCAGTGACTGAATAAACATATCCCATCCCAAAGCTATAAATTTCTTCCCTGGAACAATGGCATTTTGTAAGGTTTGTATTTAGTTTCAGCCAGGATGCAGCTGTCAGCACATTTTTGGTGGGCACAAAGTATCCAATAGACTCAGCTGCTCTGTGCAGTAATGTCTCTTCACTGCACAGGCAGAACTTACCTCAGTTAGCTCCCAGGTGATGCTAATGGTCCAACACAGCCCATAGCTGCGAATCAACAAAGCCTTCATTGCCCAGCCCCAGAAGTGTCCAAAAGCAAAAATGTCAAAATGGCTGAGGATTCGTTCCCAAGTGATAACATGGCAATTTACAGCATATTCCTGTTGATGTAGGGAGAAGGAATGAGATGCACATGGAGAGAGCAAGAGAGAAGGCATGAGAGAGAAAGTAAGAGCATGCACAAGCAGCAGCTGAAGTATACTCTGGAAACATTTTGGAAATAACAGTGCAACCTGCTAGATCATTTACTTATTTAATAAATATTAGAAGATGCTTTTCTTCTAGAGTATGGTTTTCTGTAACTGAGCTTTACAGAGATGCTAGAGATATTCTTGCATTAGTCATGGATATGTCTGTCTTTCAAGGACTGCTAAGTTGTTCTTTAAAAAAAAGCCTAGCATGATCTAAATCTACAGCCTTCTCTTCACTACATCATATGACCCATTTTTCACAACATAAAAGGTTCCATTATTTAAAAATTCTTGAAAGTAAATAACTTCTGGGCTTATTTATTATTCTGTAGTAAGCAAAATTCAAATCAAGGTAGCCCAAATACTGCACTCCAAATCATTCAACTGAAATAAATTATGGTAACATATAACTGCTTGGCAATCCTTATTCAAGCAGCCACACAGAACTTCGATACCTAACTCACAAAACAATGACCCCAATCTGGACTTGCTTGGATGTCACTGCTACCAAGAAAAAGGTTTATTTTTAAAAGTAGCAAATAAAAACTACCACTAAACCTGCCGTCAGTTTGGGCTATGATGAGGCTGCCACCACTACTTGGATATGTACTGAGCAACATGTACTGTTGCTCATGGACCTTTTCTTTGTAACCTCATTCCAAGAAAGAGGAGGGGGGAAAACAAATGGAGATGAAATGAGATGAAACTGAACTGAACTAAGGAACACTATACAAATTTGGAATGAAGAGAAAATTACTGTAAAATGCACCTTCTTGTTTGGCTCCAAAGGCCCTAAAGCTTCATTCTTCCTCTTAAAGAAGATGTTTAATCCTATTCATCATTTTGGTTATCCTTTTAGCACCTCCTTGTATGCAAAATATTCCATATCTAGAGACTACCAAACTGTATATCCTTTTCTTGAGTCAGAGTTATTAGAATGACATGGCAGGATATTTGATCTTTCTATAAAGATGGCACAAGAATTCTGAATGATTTCCCATCCCCTTCCAAAGGTTTATGCATGCTATTCCGTTTCTAATACAGCAACACAGGAGCACAAGGACAAAGGTGCCAAAGCCTTCACTACAACATTATCAATACACACCATGATATCTGCTTCTCTCGTTGCATATCGGAGATTAGGATCCAGCCAGTACATCACCGATTTCACCTGCTCAAAGTTAAGAAAGAGCAGGAACACCAGAAACAGAAAATAGAGAACACTCAAACCTGTAAGGAAAGAGTTAAGATTAAATGTTTAATTCATACTGCTTTTGGTAAGTTGAGGATAGAAAATATTTGTTTGAAAGGCAGTATCCGAAACACACACAAGCAATGTTCTCACATTGGAGAACCAGTGTGGTGCAGTGGTTAAGCATGTGGGACTGGGACTCAGACGATCTGGGTTCTAAGTCCCTGCTCGGCCATGGAACCAACTGAGTGACTTTGAGCCACAGACTCTTAGCCCAACCTACTTCACAGGGTTGTTGTTGCGGGGACAGGATTGAGAGCAGAGTAAAGAAATTGATATAAGCCAATTTCAGTTCATAGGAAAAAAGTGAGGTAGAAATCTAATAAATAAATATATATCTCAATGTTGAAGGAACAATTTAGATTAATACATTAAAATAAGCAAGTAGAATTCATAAACTAAACAAGTTTTGCAAGTTTCTTTGCTTATGTTATTTCTCATGGCTGTGGATTTTCTCCCCCAACCCTGGCGTGGACCATATGCGAAAATATGAAACAGTTAGGTACATGAGCAACACAAAAGAGAAAAAGAGAGATTGTGCACTAAGCAATTCTTCTAACAGTTGACCACCATAGTTTATTCACAATTGAGAGATGGGGTCTAACCCTCACTTGGCCATCAAGCTTGCCTGATGCCTTTGTACCACTCACTGGCTCTCTGCCTTAGTTACCTCACAGGGCTGTTGTGAGAATAAAGTAGAAAGAAGGAAGAGGATTATGTAAGCTGCCTTGGGTTCCTTGCAAGGGTAGAAATGGCAGGATATAATACTTCCAGTCTTCCAGTCAGGAACATGCCAGTTAAGAACAAGACTTACTTATGAACAAGCAAACCCAGAAGTCCCATCACATGCACAAGTGACAGGCTGGTGCCCGCAGGAGCCAGATAGCAAGAAAGGAAGAAAAGGAAGGGAAGAAGGAAGGAAGGGAAAAGGAAGGAAGAGGGGGGAAATGACGAGCAGCCAACTGGGAACTAGTTCCATGGTGGTGGTGAAACTACAGTAGTTTTCCATGCTTATGCAAAACCAGGATACACAAGTCAGTGTTTTGGGTCACGTGGAGTTAGTTACAATTGGGATAATTTTAAAGGATAAAGGAGTCCCATCTCCATCATCAGTTACTGTTGGGCTTAATGTTAGCTCAAGAAATGTTAAGCTTCAATAATCTTTTTATTGTTTTTTTGTCTTTCTAACTAAACTATTTTAAGAACTGTACTGTATATACATACATACTTACAGACTCTCTCTCTCAGTACATGTAGTTACTTTATTACTACTGTACTACTATCCTTATTAAAATGCTGTGTTGTCTTTAAGATTTTTTTTAGTGTATATGGAAGTCTTTCTTAAGTGTTTTATATGCCTTTTTATATGTGATCCAACTTAATTAAAAACAAAAACAAATCCCAGTGCATTTTGAACATTTAAACTTTTCCTGAGAGGACAAAGAAAGAATTTTACTGTTGGGCACAACCTTCTCCTAGGCTTTGTGCCAAATTGTTGAAAGCCCATTTCCACTATGATAAGTAGAATTATCTGTTAGGCTCATTCTGAACCATTCCATTTATATTTATGTGCTTAAGAACAGATTAAGAACATAAATAATTCACAATATTAGGATATTGATGTACCTCTACAATGGCCAAGAAGGAATATAATAAACTAAAGAATTTAATGTTCAAAGGAGAGAATATCTGGTGCTTCAGTATAGTGTGAAGGCACAGCTTAAAAAGACTTACCAAAAACCATGCGCCATATTGCAGGATGTGGTCGAGTAAAAGGACCTGTGGAGAGAAATGCTTACAGATAGGAAAGAATAGCAGCAGTGTGCCTTAACATAATCAGAAAAAAATGTTAATGTGTCAACCAAATGCCAGCGGTAAACAAGCTTCACCAAAAAAAAAAAAAAAAAGTTTTAAATTACGTAAAGCCATGGATAAAGGAAGTAGACTGCTAGTTTTTGTATAAACACACATATCCTCAGAGCATGTTGACAGAATCTAGCTGAACAAATAACTATGGCATCTCAGGAGCAACACTTCATGTGCACATGCAGAGCAGTCTCCAGCACTGCGATTCCATTTATGACATTGATGTTGTGTTAGTAAAAGTGACCCCTAGCCAATGGGTTTTGGGAGAACCCCCGTGTGCCAGCATATGCTACTGATTTTGCACTTAGGGTTTTGCACTCCCTCTTTTGTCCCTAATCTATTCGGGCTGATTCCCTCATTGCAATCCACTTATTTCCTCAGTGGAAGCCAGAGAAATCAGTTTCCTCTACCTGTGTGCCCCTCTTTGGAGGTTCTATTTTCTTGAGTGACTACAAGATACAATGGAATGCTGGGAAACACTTTCTATGTATACCCATATGCAAGCTCCTCATAGAATAAATATTTAAATCTCGGGTATAGTGTTCCTATACTGCACACTTAAATAGTGCTTTTTTTTCCTCAAAGGGAAGGCTTCACAAAGTCTCCCAGATTTAATTGCTTGCCTGAAGCTTGCTCATATAGAGACTAATTTGTATATCTCCAGATCTTCAGCAAGCCTGGAAATTAATCCAAATAACATGACTTTAATTACACTGTCAAGTTCTAAGGACCTTTGGAAACAAGCCATTTCACAGAGACAAGTGGAACCTGCTACTTAATGGATAGAAGGTACAGCATGATGGTTAGAGGCTGGATGTCTGAATTCTAGTCCCCTCAGCCATCAAGTTCACTGGATGAGGCTGAGCTACTCACTGGCTCTCAGTCTATGTTGTTGCAAAGATAAAATGGACAGAAGGTGGCCTAGAGAAGGCACCTTGGGTTGCTTGAAAAATTACAACGTCTTGCCCCAAAATGAGATACAAATAATAAAAGCATGTTTATGTGTAGCATAAACCCCAATAAGAAGTGTTCAAAGCAAATTACTAATCCATGAGAGCATGGAGACAAGGGCCTTTTGATGAGGCAAGTCATAGCATATAACAACATAAGGATGAAATCTGAAACTTAGTTACAAGGGAGTAAGCCCAGTGAATTACACTGAATTACAGTGGGGCTTATATCTGAGCAAAACTGCATAGGATTGTGCTTTCACAAGCGATAGCACTTGTGCCCTGAGCACTCATTTTTCTTTCCTTGGTTTAGGACGTTTACATTCAGGCCACTTTTAAAAAGGGTTATTTTTCCATTATGTCTTTTGTCCCAATGATAGTATTCAGATTGCAAAGGAACTGTGTGATTGGCACTGATGGACGGAGGCTGGGAGAGCTAGGCAGCCACCTAAGATTCCCAGTAAGCTGGACATTAGATACTGGACAGGCTATCGAGTGCCATGCATGCGGTTTGAATTTGTGTGGAAAATTATTCCTCCCAGTTACACAAATGGAAATCAATACCTTTTAGACATCACTAAGATCAAATACAAATGATATGGTTCAAAGCGGCTAAATATGAGATGTCCAATGCCTTCCTAACCCACAAAAGCCTGGGTTGTGGAAGGCATACATCCACTTAGTTCTGAAATTTATTTACAGGAGTTATGTCTGCAGTTACCTTCGTGATGTAAAGTTCAGTGCCCATCCGTAAAGGGATAGTGTAATAAAAGCAAATTATCTCTGTGGGAGATCAGCCACTATTTGATAACTATAAGTTTATCTAATAAAGTTAATGTTTCTTTGAAACCCCCACCAACATTTCCCACTGTGAAGGTATTCTAATCACTGCTAATTGCTTGTCCAGCAACTGGGCCAAGGACCAGGGCAGTACTGACAATCACAACAGAGCAACCTTGCCAGTCTCAGGGAACTTGAAACAAGTGTTCTTATTGGCAGCCACACCTCCTTGTGCAAACACTGCCTGGTACTGTCACTTGCCAAGAATGCAAGGACCAAATTCAGCTATAGCTTCAGTCACATAGTGCAACACACTCAAGTGACACCACACAGTTATTACACACAGTTGCTTTTGCTGGCCAAGAGCCAGTAACTGTCTGCTGCAGATGATAATGACCACAGCTACTTTCTATTCCCATACCAGACACAGTGAGATCATTTTCATGCTTCCAGTAAGAGAGACAGGCGCAAGGTCTTGAAAGACTGAATGATGGATTTCAATTAATCAAGATTTACTGAATCTTGTTTCCCTTTCATATCTGAGCTGCCCACCATGTTCTCATAGTCTAGTGCTAACAACAACAGGGATAACTGATGCTTTAGTCCATTATTCAAAATCCATTATTCAAATCACATGAAATATAGTCTATCTCTTGATGAATTGCACTTCAACAGTTTCATGTTGGCATTCATTGCTGAAATTCCTTTGTTCAAGAATGCCTTTCTCAAGGTCACCGACATCCTGGGCAGCTGAAATGTACTCCTACTGCTTTCTGAACATTGCCATTCCTGATGTCAGTTGTGCCCATTAATTTTTTTGAAAAGAAACCCTGTCTGAAATCTTCAAGAGCTCCTGCTACTAACAATGGACCACTGGCCAGACTCAATGCAGGAAACTTTTTCCATTATGCAAGAAAATGGAAGAATATAATATTCTGCTTCATTTCTAAACCTAAACATAGTTACTTGGGAGAAGATTCCATGATTTCAATGAGACTTTCTTTCAAGCAAGCATGGACGGAATCACACAGCTTATTTTTATTCAGTTAACTATTTCTACTCTTTTCAAATCATCTCCTGGATTGCAATTTATTTACATATAAACATTTTCTTTTTCAGATTCTTTGGGGACAATGTCAAAGACTGGTTTCATATGGTTTCACATACTTCATCAAAAGAAGATTTAGAAATTTAATATCATTTGCTTCAGCTGAAAAAACCAAACAGAGTTTCCATTTTAAAATGCTCTAGGTGATTAAAAAATAATAACAACACACATCTTGATACCAGTTCTGTTTAGTGTTGCAATTACTTCTTTCTGAAGTAAGGAGACAAGTTCTAAACTCTGTCCTACCTAGGAAGTAGTTCCCTACCAGCTCTCCTCCAAGAATCCAGATAGCATTTATATTAAAGTAAGTAGCAACTTCCCCTTTAAAGGCCTGATGTTGGCAGCAAGAGGCAAATCACATATTTATAACCCAAAATGTATCAACAGAAGACAACAGAGCAATGCTCTATTTCCTCCACCAAGAAAGGAGCTGTCCTCATTCACCCAAAATAGGGAGCATTTCAGAATTCAGCCAGGAGGTCTCTTGTATGCAAGTACATTGATTTCACATGCCTTTTCAGTTATGCCTTGAGTTTATGCCACTGTCTTGTTTTTCATCTTAGAACTGCATCAGATTGCTTTCCCACAAACTATCCCTTCTGTAGGTAAGAGCCTTAACAAATGACACTGGGAGACTCACCTATACCAAATTATTGTCCAAGTTCAGAACAAACAACAATTATCAGAGTACCAGAGTAATTCCAAACCAGTACACTTTAGAATCCCCCAAGGACCTCAGGAAAGCAATATAAAAATGATTTGTGAAAGGAGTTGCTGAAAAATATGGCATACAGATACTTGTGGGAGGCATACAAATGCAAAAGGAGTTGCTTACCATTTGGAAATGCTAGAACACTGATGATTAGAAAGAAAAAAATCACAGAGAGAATGCCTTTCCAAATATTATCTTCTGGGGTTGTATCATCCCTAGAAAGAGAAGGTTGGAAATCAAACAAAAGAAATTAAAATACTACATATTTCATCTCAACTACAAAAAAGCTAATTTAACTAGTTTCAAATCCCATTAACCTGTTTTGACGTACTTCTACTTCATCTGTATAACAGAAATTGTAATACTGCAATTTATACACACCTCAACAAGTCCCTCAGAATCCATTGTAATATGAGAGAACTCAACAAACATGGATTATTACCGGGCAGAAGGAAGAGTCAACTACCCAGTCTGAAATACAAAGACCCCGTCTATATTATCCATCCTATCTATTAGCAGTCAGCTGGTAAGCATTGCTTGTAAAGAGATCTCTTATATTACCTCCACCTTATTCCAGACAAAAGAAAACTACAGCAGTGTCTTTACTCAATTGGGGTGAGAAAAATTGAGTGCTTAAATCCTCATAAAGGTGGTTTAGTTCTCTTAATATGTTTAATTTAGATAAGAACATGGTTCTCCTCTCTGCCTCAACTAGGGAGGGATACAAGAAAGAGTCTTCTGGATCTGAACTGAAGGGCAGTGATCCATTCTGTTACATCATATACTGGTAACTCAAACCATGATGCTACTTGGCATCACCATAAACAGGAACATCACATAGTCACGTAATTTAAATCCTGAGTATGCAGGATTCAAGTATGAAGCATTACAGTATGGGATTACTGTACCTCACAAGCAAGCCAACAAGTAGTCTGTGGCATGGGAGCCAAGCAAATGGAGTTTGTGGTGCACTTAGACAAGAGTAAGATGGCCCACAGACCTGAATTTGATTTCAGAAGGTCATGCTGCTATTACCACAATTACCTGTCCAGCAATGTGATCATGTCTTACTAATAAAGCAGTTAATTGCAGTTAATAATTAACATCCATCACACATACAACACACATACAAAGAAGAAAATTTGTTTGTGCAATGGTTGTATGTAAATATGTGTAAATGACCCCACTATAAATGTTAACTCTAACATAAAAGGTACTACCATATAGAAACTTTGTAAAGTTGAAAGGCCCCTGGAAATTATCTTAAATTTAAATTTAAAAATGTGAACAAAAGCTTATCTAACTAGAACCCTTAATTGCTTCATTCCTTGAGTTCTAGAGAGGGCATACACACACTGCATAGATGACCAATCCTTTTGCTTAAGTGTGCTCAGATATATTTTTTCCCAGGAGAGATGTTGCAAAGCACCAGGTAAGTAGCGCTGTCAGGTGCTTTCCAAAAAGACACAACTATCTCTCTCATGAACCTCTTTATGAAATCCAGAGAAAAATATTTGCAAGCAGGCAGACTCTGAGAAACATGGAGTAAGAAGGAAAATGGTAGATGGCTCTTTCTTTATTATACTTTCTGTCTCAGCATATCTGCAGAAATACACAAAGGCAACATATATTAAATGTCCAAGTCCACCCCTGTATATGTCAGAAAAGTCACCAATTAAACTGCACTGGGGGCACAATCCTATGCATATTTAGGCAGGATAATGTCCTACAACCCCCATCATCCCTTGCCAACATGGATAGTAAGGAATGCTGGGTGTTGTTTTTCTTTCTAAATTGCATGGGATTGCACCCTTAAACTTCTAGATTACTGGCCTAGCCCAAACACTTCCCCTGTGCCCAGTTTTATGCAGCTCAGTGGCAGAAGGTTGAAGTGGGGTTCAGTCCTCAACACCTTCAGGTAAGGTCTAAGAAAAAAAGTCTGGAAAATCTGTTGCTGGTCACTTGGGCTAAATGGACTGACTAAGGCAGCCTTCTCTATTCTATTAAATCTCCTCTACTCATGCGGGGGTCTTTCTGCATTCATATCAGCAATCCTTCTCCAGCTGACTTGGCCCTCTGTCTGCTTCATCTATTAGAGACTAAAGATTCTCATGCTGTTGCTTTGGTAGGGAGCAAACATACATACACAAATCTTGACAGTCTGTTGCAACCAAGCAAGGACCCTTCCAGCTCAACCCTATACCTGTCTTCTTCGAAGTAGGTGCCACTGAATCATCCCAAATGAGCAGGTATCCATTCCACACAATTACCTGAGAGTAAGGTTCGTAAACCTTATTAGGGACTTACCCCTGAGTACATTCTTATTGTGTTGCCATTAAAAGAGGGCGTGTTTTTACTGTTTCATCTTTCTTCCATGATGGTATTCAAAGGGGTGAGCATCGGGATCTCCCAATCAGGCGCTCGCCAGACACAGGAGAGCTCAGTATCTGCAAGACTGCAGTATCGTAGTGCCCTCAGACCATACCCTGGAAGGACTTGGCATCCGCGACGCCAAGGATCCACTGCATTCCGCAGAACCCTGAGTGCCGACAAAGCCCCTCAAGGGCCACCCGCCTGCGCTCGGTTCGGGGCTGGCCCTCAGCCCTGCGCGACCCCCTGCCCTCCCAGCGGCTCCAGCACCCGCTCGTCGCCTCCCCACCCTGCCGGGCGCGGGCACCTGGTGAAAGCGAAGGCCATGAGGCTGAGGATGGTGAAGCTGAGCAGGGTGATGGTGTGGGGACGGTAGAAGAACTCCAGCGTGATGTCCTCCACCTGCTGCTCGTTGATCATGCGGAAGTGCAGCCGGTAGTTCACGTCGTCCTTGCTCAGGGTTCGGCTCCCCATGTACGACGCCATGGCTTCGGCTTGCCCGCCTTGCCCAGCCCACGAGCTGCGGCGGCGGCGGGGGCGGCCCTTCACTGCCTTCGCCTCAACCCGCCCGCGGAGGGACGCAGGCGAAGGAAAGAGGCGAAGGACGACCGGCGACCACGAAGCGACTCCGTGGTAACAGTGCCCCGGGTGGGGGGAAAGGAGGCGCTACGGTGGGCCGGGCCTGGCTTTGCCGCCGCAGGCCACGGGGAGGAGCCGGCTGGCCAGCCTCGCCTCCTTCTCTCGCGTCAGAGGCCCCCACGCTGCCGGGAAGCGCTCCGGGCGCTGCAGGCGTGGGCCTGGCCCAGGCCGCCATGCGGCGGACGAGCAGGAGCTTGTGAGAGGGTCGCCCTGCGGCTGTCGAGGCGCCAGGGAGAGGCAGCGAGGGCCCTTCCCGCTCTGTCCGGAGCTGCGGAGCCGGCGGGGTTTCTGCCACGGAGGGTGTGTGAGTAAAGTCGGTCCTGGCGCTGGTGCTTTTCCGAAGAAGGGTCTTTCAGGGAGCATACTTTTGAGAAGGTGGAGAAAGAGAATAGCGGATTCTGTTCTGTCTTTTCGCCCCCAGTAAAGGTGCTTTAAATCCGATTCACGAAAGCTTGAACGGGTATGTGTGCAGCCTCATGCTTTCTCGGAAGAAAGCTTGGTTGCGTTCCGTGATCAATGGGGCTCACTCCAAAGTCATGGCGCCTGCGATTACAACCGTGTTCTGGGTCAATGGGAGTGGAATACCTTGCAAGCTTACCTGGGAGTGAGCTCCATTGAACCAGTGGAGTAGTCAACTCGATCCTGTTGCATGTTTTACCTGGAGGGGTGGGCAGAAATAGGCCTCCAGATGTTGTGACTTCAATTCCCAGCATTCCTAACTAATACCTTACTGGTGAGGACTTCTGGGAGTTGAAGGCCCAAACTTCTGGAGAACTACAGTTTGCTCTCCCTTTGCTAGGTACACTAACTGGGGAGTAATCCCAATTGAATTTCACAAGTACACATACTAAAAGATCTGGCTGCATATCTTTCACTGAAGAATCTTTTGGAGGCTTCCTTCTCTAATTTGGTTTCACAATTTGTGATCTCACCTTCTGCCAACCTCCCACCCTGCCATGCTATTTTTAAAAAATTTGTTTTCAGTGTTCTGGTTCAGTCAGTCCTGGAACATGAAGAAGTGTTTTAGCTTATTCTTTTTAAATGAAATAGCATTTCAATAGCATGTAACAATGAAGTGTGCAGCACTGTGCACACTTTATTTATTACATTTATGTACCACAACCTATAGCCCAACTTATCAGGGCACAAGCAACACTGAACACAATGGGACTTACTTCTGACTAAATAAATTAGGGAAGATAAGGCTCTGCAAATACTCTAAAGACTGGATTATTTTTTTTACAAGCCAACCCTAAATACACCTGCATTCACAATTTATTTCTGGTACATTAACAGTTTGCAAGAGGAAGAGATTCCTTGTTGGGCTAGTGTAAAGTGATTCCTGCTTGCCATAGGAATAGGATTTATAGACAAGCCTGAAATGTTCCATTTGAAAATGTGGCTTTTGAAATAGACTTTACCTCTGTTTCATGGTCTGTGACATATAGTGATGGTTTCAGGGTTTTGTGGAGAGGAGGTTTGGACAAGATGTATAACTAGTGCTGACCTCAGTGGGACCCTCTTTCTGAATGGATTCTGTTCTCCTATTGCCATCACTAGGCATTTGTTTGCCCCTTCCATCTGATCCTGGACTACATTGCACAGAAGAGCAAGTGCAGGCAGATGCCCTTTCTCCTTGTTTCTGTCACTGCTTGCTTACTTGGAGAAGATAGACATGTGGGTCATTAAAACAAGAAGCAGCACAACCAGGGGACTCTATAGTTGGTAGTGGAACTCCTGCAGAAGCGTGGGCCTCAGGGATGCTGACTAAAACTGACTCTTGGTCCAACCTTGACGATGTATACAACTGAAATAATAGCTCAGGATAGTATTGGATACACTGAAGTTCTCCTTCAATGGTAATTGAATTAACTTATTATTTCCATCATAAGTGCACTGCAGCATTATGACTTAGCAGCACCCTGCCCTGTTCCATGTACAAGAATCTGAGTGACTGCTAGTTGAATATTACTTCAACACTGCTGATGGCACAGTGTCTGCCTTCGTACCCAAGGGATGCAGGGCATCCAACACTGTCTTTCTTATCCCAACATCTGCTCCTTGAGGCAGCTGTTTCACTCAGCCTACAGGTAGAGAACAGTGCTCTGAGCACAATATCAGTTTACTTTTGTCATAACCCTTTGCTGTTATGTTCTTTTATTACAGAATATCTTCAGTAAGATGGCTCTGTTGATGCGACATATATCCAGATGCTGTCCTTTGCTAAAGCTGTGCAGCACTGTGAACAATACAGAACAACTTAGAAAAATATCTATCAATGTATGGATGTTGTCTCTTGAACAATTGCAGTTTCGATTGCTTGGTTCTTACGTTCATCAGACAGTGTTAAACAACACTAGGAATTTTTATTTTTATAAGCATATACAGTTCTTCAGTTCAAGTACTGAACAGAATCAAAGTCCAGAAGATGATTCACTTTCTTTAGCTGATAAAACAGAAATAACATCTAGTTCAGATACCAAAGAATTAGATGAAAGTAAGTATTGATTAAATGTGTATGATAGTGAAGAATTTCTGGGGGTTAAGATCCTCTTAGCACCATATCTAGCATTATGATTTTTCTTCACTTTCACTTCGTTTAAAGGGGGTTGGAATGATTGGATTGTCTTTATTATTGTTTGTCTCTAAATTCTTTTTGATTGTGATTTTTATTCCGTTTGAGGAAATAATTTAGTGATAATTGATTCTTGCATTATATTTCAGATGCAGTGGTGCATGCATTTAGGAAGATGCATGTATATTTTAGTGTTAAGATTGCTTGCACTAGTGTTGAGAACCAGAGTGGGATAGTGGTTACCATTTAAGAAAAACCAAGGCTCAAATCCCTGCTCAGCTGTGAAATTCACTTTCTTTCTTATGTGAGCTCACCAGTCATGTTCACTAGATCTAGCCTACCTTACATAGTTGTTAAAACTGGGAGAAGTATCATACTCCTTGGAGAAAGGGCAGAACAAAAAGTTAATAAATATATAAAATAAAATATTTTTGTCCCAGTATCTGAAGTAGTCAGTTAGAAGGAATAAATGCTAGAATATACGTATCTGCATTAGGGTCATATCATCATTTTGTCAAATACTTGTTTTGAATGGTAAATCCCTTAATGGTTTGGCCTCTGTTCCTGCAAGATGGCTTTCCCCTTTTATGCTTCTTTGTGAGCTCTTAGAGTTGCTTAAGAGTGCCCTTTCCAGCAGTATGATCTCCATTATTCAGTGATATCAGGTGCCTGTACAGAGGCTTTCTGGGTAGCTTCACAACTAAGTGTTGTAAGCTCTTGAGTGTTTTAAGCCCTTATTTAGTTTAGCTTTTAAGTGGCTGAGATGGAGCCATGGCATGGTGCTGGAGTGAATTGACTTCGATTTTATTGTTTCCCCAATTTGTCAGATTTGCTTCTTTTCCTTGGGAGATAACTTCTAATCTATGTCTGCAGAAAACCATAGTGTGATCTTTTGCTTAAGCTAGAAAACATTGTAAGGCATAGTTTGACTAGACAGTTAACTTGGAAGTAAACTTTGGTTTGCTGCACACAGATCTTTCCTATCTTAGTGTGTGAGGGAATGAAGGCATGCACAAACCTGAGACTGGGCTGGGTCATGCTTGTAACATCAAACTTTGATTTGGTGTTGCATCTGACCAGCAGCTTTGTCTTCAGTATTGGTGCTGTCCTGAAAGATAGTAAGATTGTATAAAATCAATAAAATTTCTGCTTAGTGTACTTATTAGAAGTGTCATCTTTGCTTTGACTGGGGGAAAAGATTTTAAAATGAATTACCTGGATTTTTTTAAAGGATGAAACAAGGACAACTTGTTTGTGTCAAGATACTCTGATTTACTAGACAGTGAATAAAAAGGCCTATCAACATGATAGCATTCTACTACAGCAGAATGGCAAAAAATCAATAGGATAGTTTGACATCTTCAAGTCTGCTGGACTTATTATAGTATAATCTTTCATGGATGAGTGCCCATGAAAGCATATGTACTATAAATTAGATGTCTTTAAAATGTCACAAGATTCTTACTGTTCTTGAGGCCCTGTTTGAAACTGGTAACATGGGATCCTTCTTTAACCATGCACTGTCTACTGCAAAGCTCCACCTGGTCCTGCTATTCTTATTTAACAATGACATCAATTTTGCTGTTTAAAATTGTACAAACATCAAGCTAAAGGCAACAAGTGAAAGTTTATGAACACTGCAACCAAAGCAAAAAATGAAGTGTTCATGGCATGACAGTAACTTGAAGAGTTTATTAAAAATGTCAGAGATAGTGGATACATAGTTTATTTTATTTAGTTGTTACTCATATACAGAGAAAGAGCCCTTTGGGCATAGTTAACAAAGTGGTAAATGTATCATGTTTATAAAAAACAACAAAGTGTAACTGTAGAATTTCATAATAACAAATGAAAGGTGAATTTTAGGAAGAGATGTGTCTTGAGAACATGCCTGAATGTCAGAATTGTTAGGGGCTGTGTCATGGCAGTTGATAATGTGCTCCAGTGGGAGGGAGCTATAGCATAAATGCTGTACTGCAAGAGACAGAAGCTTTCTTTCTTGCTTAACCAAAACATTTATGGGCACTTTGTCTAATCCTTAATTTCTATGTCCTGCTCATCATCCATTTAACAAATATTAAACTTTGCTAGGTCACAGAAGATATCCCAGTTTAGCAGTTTCCCAGTTCAATCCCTTAGTTTGTGGCTATAGAGTTTTTAATGTCAATTATTTTATCGGGTCTTGGTAATTTTTTGTAACTTGTTTTAGCTGATTTAATTTGTTTTTAAATACGGTATGTTAAAGATGCTATATTCTGTTTCATAATGTTGTCTTTTAGGGTTGTAATTTTTGTGAAAAGTTTAGAGAACTTTGGCTTTTGAAAGGTATAGAAATGAAATGAAATTTCTACTCTTAACTTTTGTACAAGGAATTTTATTGGAAAAGCTGTTAATTACTGTGTTTATATTGCTGCTGAAATAGAAGCACATCAAATTTACCATTCCTACTTCAGTGGAGTCATTTTTCCATAGGTTTGTGTAAGAATACTTTTAGAGGGGGAAGTTTAAGCCATTAATTACATTAGCAGTACAAAACATTATAGCTGGCATCATACTGTGTGATTAAGTTTGTACTGTTTGTATCAGTTAAATTTTCAGGAACTCAGGTGTTTAAAATTAGAAAGGTGCACAGAACTGTTGCATTCCTGGGGAGGGCTTTAAAAATTCTCATAATATTGCATTTCTCCTACAGCAAAGGCAATCCTTGAACTGTTACCTGCTAAGATGTACAAATACATTTTAACAGGAAGCAATATTACTAGACCGATTTTGAATATTGGTATTTGCTACATGTGCAAAATTTACCATGCTTTGTTTTTTTCAGTTTTTTCTCCATTGCTCATTTTTTCTTAACTTAATGTCTTTTAGGTTTGGAAGATGTATCTCCTTCATCTGCCTTGGAGGTAATTTCAGAAGATGAAGCACTTCAGATCTTAGCAAAGCCACCACTTCCTTTTGAATCCTTTACACTTCAAGATTATGTTGATCACTCAGAAACACTGCAGAAGTTGGTGCTTCTAGGTAAGAGTACCTGTATTTGGCAATTTCTTTGTGATATGCTGGAAACTGAATCAACACACTTTATTTTGCCATACAATAGCAAATCACTATGTTGTAGGCGTAGCAGCCTTACAATAGCATGATGTATACAAAAAAGCGTGTGAGGGGAGATAATACCCTGTTCCACATGTGGGCAGGAAGGTGCAATACAACTGATACAGCAACATTCACTTTTCTCAACATTCATTTTTCTTCCTAATGTAAGGAAGAAGCTTACATTAGTCCAGCAATTGCTGTCCCTTTGTGACCAAGGTGTTATCTGCATGGACCTTAAAAGAGTAATATCTTGATATCTCTGTTAGTATCATGTGGAATGGCTAATTGCCTGAGGCCAGCATTCTCCTGAAAGACAAACTCTAGAGAACGAAACTGATGCATGCAGCTATTCCAAAAAAATGGACCTTGAGTTACTGGTTTTAAACTCTCTACAAGGAACTCTGGTTTTAACTCTCTACAAACTCTGATTGGTAGCAGAGCTGCTGTATCATGACTCCTTTTAGTGTCAATTGATAACATCAGAAGTCTAAAGTGGTACAGGAGGGAATGCCCAGGTCAACTCGGAAAAAGTATCAAATGCAGTAGTTGGATTCAGAATTAGTCTTTCTTAGAGTAGCCTTCTTGATAGCAGGGGGATTTCACTTGGTCTCTACCAACTTAAGTCTCATTGAATCTAAGAAGTTGTTCCAAGTAGAATTAAGGCTGAATCCAACTAATTTTGCCAGCAACTTTTACCACTTGTCTATAATTATTTATGTCTTAAGGAATATGACATTTCATTGAACATCCAGTTAAAGTATTTTTCATGACTATGCTACAGGAGTTGATTTGTCCAAGGTGGAAACCCGTTCAAATGCAGGCCAATTACTTCTCCAACTGGACTTTGAGAAAGACATAAGAAAGATCCTTCTATTTCTTAAGGATGTTGGTCTGGATGATAAGCAGCTTGGGCCATTTCTCACCAAAAACCCTTACATTCTTGGAGAAGATTTGGAAAATCTAGAAACAAGGTAAAATGTCTTCTATAAAGATCCACGTGACAGAACTTTCATATAATATTTCAGCAGTCATCATTTGTATGTCTGAAATATGTTGCTTGGCTATAGATTTTCTGCAGACTGTCTAAATGCCTCTCAAATTTTGAAGAGAAGGTAAAGTGGCTGGTGAGCAACAATTGAGATGTATAGCATATACAGATGCAGCATCTGCTATCCAAGCTGGGATAAGTTCAAGCTCAAATTATTATTGCACATGATTATATCCAAATGGAGTTCAAAATTGAGTGTGGATTTTGCTTATATTATATTTGCTTTTCTTGGGGCCTTTACTGAAACTGGGAAAGAGAGACTTTGTCTGTTTTCAGTAGAACTTACAGAGCTTTTTGAATCATGAATTTTGTTGTTGACACTCTTCTAAAGATGAAAACCATTTCAGTGTTTGTGCATAGGGCAAATAGTTCAGTGTTTTTGCACAAGCAATCCCAGTGGATTTTGGCTGATATCTCTTTATCATCTTTGGCTGGAAAGGATGTAGCTCTTTAGGATTGCTGCCTTGGTGACAGATGACTTTATTTTTTCTTTTAAAGATGCCTTTTAAGTTCTTAAGACACCTTCCTTAAAAAACAATTTTTGATTGTGAAAACAGCTATTGTTTTTCATTCTTTCTTCCAGTTTAAGCCATTTGAATAACAAAAGCAACTCTCTGAACTAGGCTGGTACTGACAAAATTTTTCTTTAAATACAGCTGGAAATCATTAAACTTATTCTTAAGTATTAATATTTTAGGCTAGAGTGTTTATTTCCTTTGTGATTAATTGGAAATCCTGGTATTTTGCTTTTGTCATACCTGAAGACCTTTTCCACCCTTCTTTTTGGCAGGTTTGTTCGTTAATGTTATTAAAACAATTTGATAGATACTACTAAAGAAATTGGCACAGCTGAATAAATGATGGCATTGTTATTTCCTTCATTTTAATTTGGATCACCCTCTCTTCTAGAATTGCTTATCTAATATCAAAAAAATTCAGCAAGGAAGCAATTACAAAAATGGTCTCAGGAGCTCCATATTTACTCCTCTTTTCTGTTGAAAGACTGGATAACAGACTGGGCTTCTTCCAAAAGGAACTTGGCCTAAATCCACAAAAGGTACTTTCTGCTTCCATGTGGGTAGTTTTAGAATCTAAGGTTATAGGAGGGGCATTTGGTTGAAAGAACTTTACAAACTGCACAAGCATATAGGAAGAAACTTACTGCCAGCTACCCCCCTTTTCACATATAATGGCAATTCATAGATCATTTAACCTGTGAATTCTTGAGTTGTTTGATGCACTGTGCAAATTTTAATCTCTGAGTTGCTTAGGGACAAACAACCCAGAGTTTTAACCCAACAATAAATCATGTGCTAATGTTCTGCGGTTTTGTCCCTCAACAATTCAGAATTTTGTCTTTGGATATTGCATTTAAAAAAAAAAGGACAGGTACATATCTAGTTTATGAAAGTTGATGCAAAAAAGAATTGGTGATCAGATGGAAAGCTGCATGCATGCAGTTATATAGTCCCCAAGTAACTATGGCTTATTTAACCCATTGTTAGTTATGTGTGAACAGAACCATTGCTTCTAAAACCTATTATCTTAGAGGCTACATGGACATTACAGCCTTATTCATCTATCCAGATAATTGCAGGACTCCCAGTACATTTGAATTACTAGATGTTCAAATTTCTGGTGAAAGAAATCCCACTGTATATGGAGTAACTATGTCAAAAGTTAACAGAAATAAGTTGACTTGGAATTTCAGATAACTAAAGGCCATGGAATGGAGGTTCACCAGATGGATAAGCATAATCTGTTGAGATGATATCTGCATAATACTTGTTGAAATTGTGTACATGCTGTAAAACACACTCATATATCTGGCATGGATTATTGTATATGTGTCTTTTTCTATAAACTTAATAGCCATGTAGAAAAATAATTTTAGATAATTCCAAGTATGAAACACAGCCAAATCTTTGGCCAACAGCTATTTCTTGCATAATATTACATAGGTATAAGCAAAAATGAAAAGTACATCATTGTGGGTTGATTCAGCACAAGTAGTTTTTGTAGTTATGCAAACAGCTCCATGACTATTAATTTTACAAGAAATCATGTCTTCATACATGATGTAGTGCAAGCATTTTCCATATATGCATAAAGGAAAAATGTCAGTGTGGATCCCCCTTGCTCACACCATGAAGAATGTACATTTCCTCAAGCAGAATAATACAGTACTGTTTTTCAAGTATCCATGTGTTAAAATAAACTACCACAGAAATACAAGGAAGAGTTTTTTTAACCTTAAACAAATATTACTTAACATACATTGTTTACATATTTTTGACTTATTTGATATTAAAATATAGACCAGAGATCTAATGACTCGTCTTCCAAGGTTACTGACTGGCACTCTTGAAGGGATAAAAGAGAATTTGAAGGTAAGTCTTCTAATATGACAGTATTCCAGAATCATTAGCTATTCTAATTCAGAAATGCTTTGAGATGCTACACAAAATGTATAGTACGTCATCCTGGATAGATGTTTGTATCTAACAATATATTGTCATATAGCAGAACAGTTGATGAGTAACGTCCTGGACCTTTGAGATGCTGCATGAAAACTTGGATGGATGAGAGTCCTGGAGATAGAGTACAGTTGGTTCCTTTGCTTAAGCACTGGGAAGCTTAATTCAGAACTAGTGCCTTTTGCCTTACTGTATAGTGTAGAAATTATATGTGATGGCCCTTCGCATGAGAACTGAGTATTATCTGAGAAGCCCACAAAACTCCTGGTGTCACTGCAACCCTTCAGTTTTATTGTAGTCTGTGATCAAATGATCAAATGCTTAAAGTCTTAAGCATAAGCAATGAACATGTTCTCCAGTGGCATGTGTAAAAATGTCTGTTTGGGGCTTCTGAGAGGTCAGAGTGGTTAATAGTGTGCCTCTGATGAAAGAGGGCACTTCAGAATCTGTTGAAAAAACTTGTGGTAGTTTAAAAAGCATGAGAACATGAACTACAGGAGGATTCTACAAAAACCTTGCTTCATTCTGCAATCTGCAGTTACGATGGCAGTTTAGAACTCGGTTGAACCAGAGAGCTATAAAAGTGTCTCATTTTCTGCATCTTAATATGTTGACAAAATATGACTTTCTTCCTTGTTGTGCTTCAGGCTTCATTGTGTTCATATCACACTCTTTTTCAGGTATATGAGATTGAACTTGGATTTAGCCAGAACGAAATTCGGCACATTGTACACAGAATCCCTAAGAATTTAAGTATAAACAAAAGGAAACTAACACAGATATTTGATTACTTGCACAATGTAATGGGCATCCCCCACCAACTCATGGTTCACTTTCCTCAGGTGAGACCCTACTTAGCAAACCACACCCACAGCTCAAAAACTGGTTTAGGAGACTAGTTGAAGGCACAATTATATGTAAGGTTATGGATTAAAACATGATTTTGGTTCACATGCTAAAGCATTATTTTGTTTTCATCTTTATAAAATAATCTACATAGTTGTTGGCCTTAAATGCCACATAGCTCAATCCATTCCTTATTTACTCAGAGGTAAATTACATTGATTTCAATACTCACAAGTGAATGCACATAGGGTTACAATTGTAGACATTTAAATAATTAGTTTCTGTTTTTCACTTCAGGTTTTTAATTCAAAGCTGCTACGAATCAAAGAAAGGCACATGTTCCTTAAATTCCTGGGGAGAGCACAATATGATCCAGAGAAGCCCAACTATATTTCATTGGAGAAACTTGTATCTTTGCCCAATGAGGTGTTTTGCACAGAAGTTGCTAAAGCAAAAGTAAAGGACTTTCAAACATTTTTGAAAACAATGTGAAATAACAGTGAAGAAAGACTTTTTGTAAAATAGTTCTGATGGTGTTCTTTCTAGCTACAAGTGTGGAGGTAAAAAGTATAACTCCTGAAACTTCTTTGGTGACTAAACATTACAGCTAATTGCGTATTTTAAAAATATACAGCCTGGTTTAGAAAAGAAAGAGTACGCAACTGATATATAGGTGGACAGATTTCACCTCAGCACCAAGCTTAAATAAATGTACAGGGTAAATAAATGTTGCCACTTATGATAGACACCATAAACCAGTCAGAAAGAAAATTCTTGACTTCTATTTCAAGGCTCATTCTACTTATTATCTATGCATTAACATAGGCCAAACCCAGTGTTGCTTGGGCTACATTAATGTAAAGGTGATTATAAGAGATTATCAGGTTCTTAGATTTACTGCAGACCATTGCTAATGGATTAATATTACCACATCCTATCTGTTGCAGTTAGCATCTGCAACCATGGCCATATCAAGGCAACAGCCTGGGTATCCACAATTAAGAGACCATTTTAGGGGCTGTGATTTTTTAAAATAGGGCTCCAGTTTCATTGTACAATCCCAAAATTTGTTCTGTAGTGCATTCCAAGGGCCAATACAAAAATCTTTGGTTTCACTCTTAAAAATGCACTTCCTGTCTGCTCGAGAAAGTCTTATAAATATATAGAAAAAACCAGCTGGCCTTTCTGGCAGCAAAAGAGCTCTTGATTTCAACAAATACAGGACTGAGCTGCTAGTATGATTCTCTGGGGCATTGTATTACTCAGTGTGTGGCTAAGAGAGGAGTCAATCATTGCAGTGCCAACATAGGATAAACTGAGGTCTTGTCTGCTTTATCAGCAGACCAATATAATGGTGCAACAGCATGGACAGAATCATTAGGCTGAGACGAGTTGCTTTCTCTAGGAGTACATTTGCAGTAAATGCAACAATTTACAGAACTCTTAGGACTGGGAACTACTTGCCAATCTGCAGGGCAAATCTAGGTGCAAAACTTATCACCAACGTTTGGTAGTAAATTAGGATTATAACTGACCTGCTACAGTGAGGTAGACCTGGTCTAGCTATCTCATGTAAATACTGCTCCTGTTTCTGCTTGCAATGCTGCACACTTCTCAGAATGACAATGGGGTAGGGTGTTTGTGTGTGTATCCTCCATGTGGCCTATATAAAAAAATATATTTTAATGAGAAAAGGCAAAGCCTCATAATGCTCCTATCATCATCTGGCTCAAGACAATAACTTGCTTCTGTCTGACTGAAAGACCTCTTGGATGCTTCCAGAATTTCTTGAGCACTTCCGCTAGTCCCAAGCTGCATGGGTAGGGGTAGTTCCTTTAACTGGGATGTGAAGGTGCTGTTCTTCTTGTTGGATACATATGTTAGAGCTCTGCCATTGCAGAATCAAAACCCCTGCCTTCCACTCTGATTGGTTACAGTCCTTCTAGGAGGATCACTTACTAGATGCAAACTAGAGAGGTTTTCACTGCTTCTATACTTCATATAAAATACCTAACTATTTCACATGTTGTAGTTTTGGAGGAATTGGAAGGAGATAAGAGACTTTACAATTGGGTTGGGAATTGCAAGTTAAATCGGTTCACACATTCAGACTTAATAATTTAAATAGCTGTGAAGGTTAACATATAGAGAACAGAGAGTGTTAATATTCAGATGGGGTATTAATGTGCTTATGGAATGCAATGGGAAAATATTTCAAATGTTTCTTAAAGGGTTTGCTTTCCTCTTTTTCATATTAGTGTTGGCTCAAATGAAGAAAGGCAATGGATAAGGCCCCATAAGAGCCGTGTGTTTTTTCAGTATGCTTCATAGCTCCATGAGGAAATGTTTGCCAGCATTCACCTTAATTATAATGTGTGGTATGACCTTGGGCCTTTTTCAGGTGCTCTTATTGGGAGTTTATTAATATGTGGGATGTAGAACACCACTCCTATTTCAGGCACTCAACCCCTGGTGTTAGAGGTGTATTATTGGCATTGAAAATTCACCCCACCTTCATTCTTGCCTGGTGTTACTAAAGTTTTGTATAACAGCATATGAAAAAATAAGATACTAGATTTTTAAAATTACAATACAGTTCCATCTTCAATTTATAAGTTTTCTTTTTAATTATATTCCATTTCTTTAGAAATGGCTACATAGGCTTGAATCCTAAGTTAATTCAATGAAGTTCATAGAAGGAAGGTTTCATTTCCCCCTCTTCATTCCTTCAGTACCTTATATTCTAAAAAGCCATTCTCATATGATCACTGGACTCTCCTGAACAGGATGTGTATTGTGTGAGAGGTTTGGGAAGAAGGAACTGCCAAAAATTGAGTGAACCTATGTAGCCTGAGGTTAATTCACTTCTCTCCCAGCAATCCTCTATTACCAGACCTATCCTACATAGTTCAAGTTCCCTAATTGACCTGGAGAGGCTTTTGGGAGATGGGGATTGCAGAGAGGATGGGTCAGAAGACTTTCTTTGTATTAACTTTCTCAAATTAATTTAGTTAACTTAGAATGCAAGGCATGATTTAAAAAAACAAAACAAAGCCCAAGCCAGTGCTGTGTGTGGGGAACCTTGTTCTTTGTGTCCTGGATTCCAGGACTTGCTTTCAGGCTTCAATTATAGTTGGAAATCTTTTGCTGTATTTTGAATAAATTTACTGTTTGACAACATCCTTTTGAGCCAGAAGGTATATGCAGAAGGTGGCCAGCATTGCTGACCTCAGCCAAAGGAAATCAACAGTATCTTGGCTGCTTACCACCCGCTGCCATTTCTATTGCTAACTAGGCTAGTGGAACTAAAGAGAGTAGTATCATACTTTCACTTTCTAAGAACGTTGCACTGACCAAGAGTGTGAAAACCATTTTTTATGTTGGGGGGCTTTCTTTGGAGGAAATCTGACAGCCACATGCTGTCTGTGGGCAGGGCCAATGACACCCCAGAAATTTCTTATATCTGCCCTTGAAATTTCTTACAATTTGGGGAAAGTGTGAAATCATAGGACAACATACAGGCCAGATTTTGTCATTACACAATTGAGCATACTAGAAAGGAAGCTAGATCAAGTAATCTTTGCAAAAGGGTTTGTCCTAAATTAAGACCACTGGATGGTGCCCATAACATATAAACACTCAGTTACAAAATATTAAAAGCACAGAGTTGGAAGGGACTTTGGAGTTCATTTAGTCCAACACCATTGCAATTTTCACCTGGAAATAAAGAGCCTCCAGAACAAAGCAAGTCTATTGCAACTTCTCTGTGACAGCCCTTCAGATATGTGAAGGCAGCTATGAAGTCTGGAAATCTCCAAATTAAACACATCCAGCTCTTTCAATTTTGCCTTTAAAACTTGTTTTCCAGCCCCATGACTCTATTTACCCTCCTCCATGTATGCGTCTGTTTGTCAATCACCCTTATAAAATGTGTCACCCAAATTGAACACTGCACTCTAAATTTGTCCTGAACCACACAGAACAACAGACATAGTATCACCCTTTGTATATTCCACCTTACACAGCTGGTTTGCATTAAGCTAGGCAGTATCACCTTGATTCTTTCCATGTGTACCAAACCACATTATTCCCATCTATACCTATGCATTTGAACACAAGACTATAATTCTTGAATTTTCCTTTGTAGGTTTCATTCCAAACTATCAGGCTTCATTTCGTGCTTGGTAGTGATTTCTGTGGTGCTGGCTGTCCATCCTAGCTGTGTCACTCACAAACTTGGTGAGCATTGCTTAAATGCCCCCTTCCAAGTCGTTTATAGAAATATTGAGCAGCAAAAGGCCAGTGGGGCAAACGCCAAACTGGACGGCCAAGTTGATGCAGACCCAGTAGATTAACAGAGGAAAAATATTAAGTTCCTTAGGCTTTCATCAGGATGAGAGTGGTAAATAAAGGCTGCGGATGAAAGTTCTCGCTGGTCTTATTTTTGGGGCCACACTGTATACATATTTAATTGTATGTTCAATATACCACAGTACCCTATATGCCATCATTGCCTGGTGTCTTTTAGGATGTAATCCAGTGAGAGATTGACAGAAAAAAAGATCCAACTCGCAGCATTGCAGGACTCCTTTCAGGCCAAATATACGCAGGATTGTACCCTAAACGGATCACATTTTTCACATAACGTAACACCCACCTACGCGCAAAGGACACGCTTGCTCCGCCAAACAGTTTTAGACGGGGGGCTTGTGGGACAGAGACGACATTATTACTGACCTTTGTAATCCGCTTTGGGCGGAAGAGGCCAATAAGAATTCTTTAAGCGAACACTAGAATTTCTCTCGTTTTCTACGGACAGATGACATGTATAAAGCGCACGGGTGAAGAGGAAATGGCTTCAAGATTAACCAGGCCCTCGTTCCACCTCACGAAAAGGTCACTCCATCGACTTTTGGACCTTCCCTACAGTCAAGCACGAAGCGCCCCAACCCGTTTGCGATGGTCACGTGACAGCTCCGCCTTGGGAGCACGTGATCGGAAGGCGAGCGGGGAGATTCTCCCAAAAGTCAGTGCGCGATTCCTGGTGTCTCAGAGGTCAAGATGGCGTCGAGGGTACCAGGTGAGTGAGCGGAAGGGAAAGTGGTTAGGATGGGGAGCACCGAGAAAGGAGACAGAGGAGGGGTTACAGAAAGGACTTGCCGGCGTGGCAGAATGCAGAGGACGACAACATAGTGGAGGTGACTGCTGGGTCGGCGTGACCTGGCGGTGCCATTGTTGTGTTTTCTAAGAGTGCAAACCTTCATGTAAACCCCTTGAGGTGAATAGAATTTCGTCCTAGGTAAGAGGGTAAAAGGTTGTCTCTTAAGAGTTTATATAGAGGATGTTGCAAATATGCGGATTTCTTCGCTTATTTCTTACCTTTAACTTGCTCCATGTTTAACTGCTGTTTCAACAGTAGAATAGTAATAGGTGGAGCATCTCAGTGCCACAGAGCCGTATGATCTGTGCTATCCTGTGACAAACGCGTTTCTGTTTCCAGAAAATGCAGGTGTGTTGAACTACAGCTCCTACAATTCCTAGTCCGTTTAATTTTCAGTGACTGGAATTATGGGAGTGGTAGTCTAACTTATTTGGAGGGCTTCCGGTCTGTTAAGGCTGAAATTTAGGGTTTGAGGATAGAGACTAGGCAAATGAGAACCTGATTTTGGGTTATTAATTGTGGAAAAATTTCTCTGAAGAAAAGCATCGATCTGAGTAAGAAACTACAATTAGCAGCTAGTAGCAACCACTATCACTTTGCTTTGGCTTATGAATCGGACCCTCCTGTCTCTCCCCCAGTTTACAGTACAAATCCTGCCTGGTGTTACCAGCCTTCAAAAAGGCAGTGGTACCTGAAAAAGGGTGTCCTTGTTAAATTACTGATTATTTGAATAAAAGTTACAAAGTGATAATGCCTTCTGGATTGCAGAGTTGGGTAAGCTTAATTTGACTTGTTTGTTTGTTGCTTCTCACATAGCTTCTCACTGCCACAGAAATGAGGCCATGTGTAGGGGCAGAGGCTTTCTTTTATCTGTTGTATTGTTGTTTTCTACAAGGTGTTTCCTGAAAAGCATACATACTACATTTTTTCTTTATTCCTAAAGTTTATTTTATTGCACTTATATCTTTCATTTCTATGGCTTACAGCGACAGTCTACTTGTAGTCCAAAATGTATTTGGAGGGTTCAACATGCACGTTCCTTTACTATTGTCTGTCTAGGGTTTATGGGATTTATAGTCCATAATATCTGTAGGACACTAGGTTGAACGTATCTTGTTTTAATCAGGACAGCTTTTCTGCCCTTATACTAGTGATCTCAAGTTCAGTAGGTGTACTGTATTGTTATAAATTTTCCTTATTTAAAAGCACAATCCTCTGCATGTTTATACATAAAATCATACAGTGCTGGGTGGAGAAAGCTCAGAGCTGGATGACTTTTTTCTGTATATGTATACATAGGATTGCACCTTTAAGTTCCTGTTTGGTGGTCTTTCATCCAGATTATTTTCTTCTTAACTGCATCCTTCAGGTTGCAGTGGAATCTGAAACTGTATTTGACAAACTTTTGTTCCTTTAGTGTGGAAGTGGAGAACTTCTTTCAGCCTGAGGGCAAATTAACTTCCAGAGAAGCCTTCAGGACTGCAAAATGCAAAACCTGCCAACTTGCTGTTGTTCAAAGCTCTTGTTGCCTGCTTTAGTAGGGGCATTTGCACATTTTAGAATGGGGAAAATACACAAAAGCTAGGAAATCTCCAACTGATCAGTGGCTGGGGGAAATGAAGTAGCTCCAAAAATGGGGGAGTATAGCAGTCTGGGGATCCAAGGAAGCCCTGATTTCTTCCTGAGCCTCAGGTTTGTCATTCCAGCTTTTAGTACCTATTCTAAACCTTTTGGATAGATTATGATCTATTAGCGTTTCTTTTAGCAGAACCCTGTAGCAGTCCACACACTCCCCAAATCTTTTACAGGTGGCTAGGATATGCTCTGGAGCAGATCTTCAGGTGACACAAAGGGCTGCAGGAAGAGAGGGGGGGGAATTCTTGTCACACTAACATAATTACTGGATTCGACCCATAATTGTCAACTGAAATCCAGGATTTAATTTTTTAAAAATTCTTTGTGCACATTGGCACAGTAAAAAATGCTTATTGTTTCTGAATAAATTGAAACAGTTTATGAACACCAAGATTGTGGTCTGCATAAATGTAACATAAAATTTTCTGACCTTTAATATTTCATGGAACTTAGCTATCAAAACTCTAGCTCTAGTTCCATACAGAATATACATTGGAAGGCAATTTGAATTCAGAACCATTGTAAATTGGTGCAGCATGATTAGTAAATGTCCGAGGGTTGAGGAGCTTCACTTTGCTGTTTCTTTGTTACATTTATATCCCACCATGTCCTCTAAGGGGCTCGGTAACATACCTAATTCTCCTCTCCATGCTATCCTCACAACAATACTGTGAGCCAAGTTACACTGAAGTCAGTGACTGGTCCAGAGTCACACAGAGAGCCAGGTGCCCTCTGTCCAGTGTACTAGCTACTGTACCATACTGGCTTGCCAGTTATTTTCTGTGTTAAAATGAGCATTCAACCATTTGTAGATTTCTTTGGAGAATACCAAGTCATCCTCTTGAACTTGAATTGAAATGGTTTAAGTTACTTTTAATTCTGTATATTGAAAAATGTTATGCAGTAATTTATTGTATTTGTGGTTTGTGTTCTTGTGCATAGCTGTGAGCCACCTAGACAACTTTAGCGATTAAATGATGTAGAAATAAGATAACTAACAGTGACAATTAATCCTCTCAGTTTCAGCCAGTAGTCGTCTGCTTGAAAGTCTCCGCAAATGGTATTACAATGCAGCTGGATTCAACAAGTTTGGTAAGTGTTGACATGCATGTTCTCTGTGAATGTGAAACCTATATGATGATTGAATTGCATCAACCTCCACTTTGGAACCTGATCATAAGAGAGTGTATTCTTTTGGAAAAAGAGAATTTTGGGTTTTGTCCACAGTGGACTGACATTTACTTATTATTAGCATGATAATTTGTTATCCACCTTGGATTCTTCACAGAAGAGAAATGTCATAACATCTAAAATCCATTTCATTTAAAACAGTGATCTTTGAGATATAAAATATGTCTCTCCCTGTGTTAGACCACATGAAATAACCAGAGGTATATATAGAGAGTGCTGATCTTTTAAAAATCCTCATCTTTGGCTATTTTAGATGATGTTGGTTGAGGATGTTGTGCTGGTTGATTTGTCCAATCAAATACTACGGAATTGTCCATCTCTATTTGCCTATGGTAAAATATAACAGTTCTATAGGTGGTGCAGCTAGAATATTTACCTCAGTCACTATGACATTTAGGGCAGGAGTGAGGCTGCTTACTTCCAAGCCCTACAGCAGTTGGGATTGAACATAATAACCTTGTATGGTTTCTCTAGCCTACTGGCTGCTACAATTAAAAAAACAAAAAAACAGGATATCCTGAGCTATCAAAGACCACCTAAAATTCTCCTTTGAATGTTTTTCACTGTGTGATCTAGCTGTCTGCTCTGGAAAGTACCTGCACATGATTGGATTTTGGTCCAGACATTTTTAAAAATTAGCTTCATGATAAATTAACCTGTAACTACTCTAAGTATCAAATCTTTGCTAATTTAGAATGTATAGTTGGGCTTCTTGGAAAGTAAGCCTTACTGTGTTTGGTGGGACTTAATCTTAGGTAAGCATGCATTACATTACAGCATCAGTTTGGATGCAGCCTTTTGTGAAATTAAGGTTGCCAAGAGAATATAATCCTATGCACCTGTTGATCAAAAAAAAAAAAAAGCCCACAACTCCCAACATTGCCCAGCAAACAGCTATTTAATAGCTGGTAAAAGATGTTTATTAAAGCAGCATTTTTATTTTTGGTGCTTATGTATAGCTGGTCCAGAATGACTGATGAATGATTTGAAGGCTCTAGCTAAAATGGTGAAGTCAGGTTACAGCCCTAAAAGCATTTGTTTGGGGCTAGGGAGTTCTGTGTACATGTGGGGCTACTGTGACTTACTTACATGCACCTTAAATGTGTCCAAGCACTTAAAGTCAGTTACTAGTAAGAAGCTGTAATCATAATCGGCATCAGCATCATAATATCTGGAGATCAAAATTCTGTACCTTGTCAAGAGATATTGTAAGTTCCATGTGCAAGTTTGAAAGCCTTGACACTTGAAAAAGGATAGCTTCTCCTGTCTTTATTGATGACTGGTATTTTGGTTAGCATTAACAGCATCTTTCTGTTGTAGGACTTATGCGAGATGATACAATATATGAAGATGAAGACGTTAAGGAAGCACTAAAGAGGCTTCCAGAAGATGTATATAATGACAGATTATACCGCATCAAGAGAGCATTGGACTTGTCCATGAAGAACCAAATTCTTCCTAAAGAAGAATGGGTAAAATATGAAGAGGTATGAATTGCTGCATACATAATTATGAAAAAGGCCAATCTACTTTTATAGAAAAAGTTGGTTGTAAGCAAACATAAACATTAGGATTTTCCAGTGATTTACCTGAAATAATTGTAAGCTGCCTGTTAGGGTAAAAATCCTATCAAAGTGGTTTCCAACAAACAGTAAACAATCAAAACATGCTACTTACTGGGGGGATTGGAAGATAGTTTGTTTCAAAGTTTTCCTGAAAATCTGCAATATACATATTATATAACACTCCAGGCACTGGGATCACTGGAGGTAAAGAAGAAATCTTTCTTCAGGCTGTTCTACCTTTGACATTGTATAAACTGGTTAGGCCTCCAATGGGAGAAGTGCAGTGCACAGATCTGCAGTTTAGAATGCTCTTATATTGGAGAGAGCAGGTAAATGTACCACTAACAATTAGTCCTAAATGAAGCAACTTCTGAATGTATTTCCATGTCAGGAGCAATCATTTGGCACCTTAATGACAAACACACGGTTTGGCAAATAGTGCCTTAATTAGCATGACTTATTTCACACCTTCTTCATAAGCATGTTACACAGATGACTCAATTAGCCAGACTGTATCTCCAGATTTTATTAACTAATAAGATGCTGAAAGAACTGATGTACTGTTTACACACACACTGTGAAAGTGTTCCACAAATAATGGCAGATATGTACAGTTGGTAAATTTTGCATTTAATATTTTAAATTTTTGATAACTGCCTTTGTTCCTAAATTTTAGCTGCTATAACTGCATATTCTAACCTTTTCTAGGATAAACATTACCTTGAACCATACCTGAAAGAGGTCATTCGTGAACGACATGAAAGAGAAGAGTGGTTTAAGAAGTAACTGCTGCTGCTGTCATTCCTCTGAGCACATTTTCTTTAAGATTTAAATTATATGGTTTGGATTGTTGAGCAAATCTGAGTGCTGAGAATAAATACATGCAACCCTTTGCTCACTAATATTTGTTCTTCCAACTCAAATGTTACTAAGTCTTATTGGAATCCTCTTTTTAAATTTCAAGGAATTGGGTCAAGTCTTTTCAGCTATTTTGTATGCTAACATAGTGATTTGTGATCTTCATTCCAGCTGTTTGAGTAATTCTTTTTGTCATGATACAGCTGCTTCCTGCAGCTGGGAGAATTGATAAGCAACATCCTTTGCTGTTTGTTTCAGTTCTTCTGATTCATTTTTTAAAAGGGATACCCATCTGCAGAGTGACTGTATATATCCATCATCACCTCTTTTCCCTGGTGGTGGGGATGCAGACACAGAAGAATTCAGTGGCAGCAACACTACATAATCCTTGTCATTTCAACCCAAACAATGGAATGCTACATTAATAATTGCTTTTGGAATTTGTGATTCCTGCCAATCTTTAAAGGCAATTGCCTCATTTAACCTGAATTAGTCACTCGGCTGTATTTTCTGAATTATACCAAGTATACTTCAGCTGTATTGAATTACTCATGTATAAAGTTCTGAGCAGTCTGTGGAGTCAAGCTCCATTAGAATCAGGATGATCTATCTTGGAATTAAAAGGCTTGGAACCCAATTAGGAGAATTGAAATTTGTTCTTTATAAAATATACTTTTCCCTGGCTTGCACCCATTCTTGGTCTACATTGTTACATAGTAGAATTGTTTTCTAAGAAATGAAAAAGATTTGCCACCTCCTGTCCATGTTGGTGGGATGTATGAAGAGCAGAAGCCTGACTTCTCTGATTTTCCTATAATACCTATTTTGTGAGCAATGACCTTGCAGAGCTGTCCAAGAACAAAATAAACAGTTCCTTACATTGGATGTTGTAACAAAAGCTGGGGTACAAGTGGCTGAGGTGTCTTGCTTTCTCCGTATGGGGCCAGCAAGCTGTGGCAGATAACTCCTATTACAGAAGCTACAAATATGAAGTGGCTGTCCTGTTTCTTTATCTGCAATTCCGTAAAGGCCACATCCATGGCAATGCATCGCTATTCATATGATTCCACCCAAGTTGCTTGTCTATAGCTGTTTGTTCTTTCATTTCTTTATAAAGATATAGCATTTTCAGTTAACAGAAATATACATAATCTGGCTTTATTTTTGTTTTTGGAATGCAAAGTACTGTGTTCAAAAACTTGCAACTTAACATAGTAACGTATTTTAAGAAAATAGGTTGAAAATTCCCCCGTTTGTATTTGCCAGTGTGGCAGCTATGTTAGTCTCTTGTGGCAGAGTAATGTGCTATCTTAAAGACTAGTACGTTTAGTATAACAGAGGTTTTCATGTCCTGCAGTTCAGTTCATCAGATAATGCAGGACAGATAATGCAGTTCATGCATTTCAAGTGGGGGCTGAAGATTGCAAGCATCAGAGAGGAAACAGAATATAGACAACTGCTGGCTATTTACAAAGCAGTTGGTTAGCTAAGATACAAGCATCCTTGCATTGGCAAGTTAATACATGTGATTTTTTTTTAAAAAATATGTTTTTCCTTTTCAAGCAACAGGAAGTAAAGGTTAATCTGTTTCAGTTTTATTTCAGCTTTTTTCCATTGCAATTTCCCTGTAAAATTTTTTCGCTTAGAAGTGGTCTCTTTAAAGGCAATGACGAACTGTTGTGGGAATCCTACCAGCCCAAAACAGGGTCTGCCATTGCTGATGTCATATTTGTAGATGGAGAAGGGACTGTTGGTCAGCAATATAGGGTGCTGCTGGCAAATGATGGCAGCTGCCACACTGAAGGTGGACCAAGTGTCTCAACCCCTCATGTTGTGGTTGACATTACTACACTTCTAATGGTGCTCCTGTAACAGATATTGCACAGAAGCAGAAGATCATGGGACAAATTTTCTACCCAGGGAGAGAGATATCCACAGAATAGCGTCCTTTCTCTCATCCCTTGGTTTAACCTCTTTGATTCCAAGTAAGTTATTGTACAACAAAAGACACATGCCATAAGTTTCTTTCAGGGTAGCACTAATTCCAACAGGCATTAACAGGTACAGAAACAGAAATTGCAGGAAAGAATTCATAAATATATTCAAATTTCTTAAAATAGTGGGGAAAAAATGCAAATAGTGGCACTTCTGCTTGTCTTACAGGCTGGAATATTTAAAATGATTTAAAGTGCTGAATAGGTGGGAGCAAAGGGGGAGGGGTTAATATGGCCCCCCAACAATGATTGTGTGTGTGTGAAGGAGGGATACTTTAAAGCTCTACCAGGAAAAAAAAAGATTGTAGGGCTGCACTTGCCTCCCTCCCCTGCTGATGCTGTGCTTTAAATAACGCATGCCTACTCATGTTTCTATATTCATTGGCAGCATAGGTTTTGCATAATTGTGCTGCCATCATTGCTGGTAGTTTATTCTCAAAGCTTTGCTTCTGCAGCAGCTTAAAGAAATCTCTAGTATTGCAGTCCCAGGTGTAACCTTGCTAATGTTCTGATTCTAGCTCTACCTCCAGGTTTATAAGGGTCCATTTTCTACATATGTCTGTTGTTTGACATCTCTTTTAGAGTGTGCTGCTCACACACATTTCCTAGGAATGTAATGGTACGATTCTTGACTGTGGCAACATATCTTTGATGGTGAAATAGATGTGTTGGAGACTAAACCCTGTGTTTAAACCCATACCTGCACCAGCAAGATCTAATTTTGTCCCTTTCATATTTTATGTGATATTGCAAGCTACCCTGAGCAAATGTTTTGCATATAGAAAGTCCCAGGCTTAATTCATGGCATCTCTAGATGGGGTTGGAGAAACCCCCCATCCTAAATCTCAGCTACCTTGAATCTGTGTAGGCACTACTGGGTTAGGTTGACCAGTGGCTTAGTAGGCAGCTTCCTCTGGTTTTAGGAATGTTTTAAATAAAACAGCCACAATACAAATTTCAAATTGCTTAGAAGTTGCTCAGGCACATTCTGGTATCAAAAGGGTAAATTTGAAGGAATTGCACTGCATTTTTCAGCAGGCACCAAAAGGTGCTTCATTTCAGATGAGCATAAAATCAGGGTAGTGGATGTGGTAGCTTATCATGGTTAAGTAATTGTTGCAGGACTTAATATGAGCAGGAAATGCCATAGTTCTGCAAGTAAATACCGTAGCAGCAGCTTATATCTAATTTCTGTACCTTGGCACTAGATGGAGGTGTGTCATAGATGTACAAAGCACTCCTTCAGCTATCATGACTTTAAAAAACCACATTTTTCAAGATGACAGCACCTTAACGGTTTATGACCCACTGGAGAATTTACTACTAAGTCATGTACTGATGTAATGAAATCTAATATATGCTGTGTAAAATGAATTATGAGATGCTATTTAGTTTCAGGATTTTATTACTTCAATCACTTGTAGCTGTATTTCCTTTTCTATTATTGCTTAGTCTTTAAACAGACCAGATGACTGTGTAAAGAACACCTCATAAAATCTGGAGATGTTAAAACATAAATGTTAAATGTTTTAGCATGCTTGCAATATTTTTTCATGCAAAACTAGCTTTCCCATCACAATGTTATTGATGTAGATATTTGGAAAATACATATATAGTAAAATTCTAGTCCAGTATAATGGCATCTCTTGCCTACATGTACTTTTGTTACAGGGTATTTGAGCATGTGAGATGTTTTGCATAGTGCCCAGCAGCATTAGCAGTGATAAATATAAAACCAGTGGGAAGGTGCAGAAAACACCAGGCTCAGTGGTATCTCCAGCTAAAAGGAATAGACTTCAGGGCTGGGTTTATCCCATACCTGAGACTGCAGAGTGCCTCTAGAGTAGTAGACCTGGGGGAGAGAACTTCTGGCCCATGGCACACTATGCAATGGTCAGAGCTTGACAGAAATTACCTTCTGCTAGTGCTGACTCCCTGCCTTTCTGTGCATGAGAAGGGAGCTCCATTGACATGGGGAAGCTTTGGATCGGAGGGTCCTGCCCCGGTGTCGTCTTGCCCCTAAGGAGGCTATCTACCTTTGGAATCTTGCAGTAAACAACATTGGACTAGCTCAGCTGTGGGCAATTTGTGGCCTTCTAAATGTTGTTGAACAGTGTCTTGCAATTGGCTATGCTTGCAAGGATGGATAGCAGTTGCAGTCTAACATCTAGAGCTGCCACAAGTTGCCCATACTTGACCTAGACAGAGCTAAAACTTGATCTGTTTATGTCCACTATGGTGAGCAAAACAAAAGTGTTAAAATAATGTTTGCTCTGTGTTTTTCTTTAATGCTTGTATGTTATGTTTTAATGTTTTGTACCCCACCCAGAAAACTTTGGTTACAGAGCTGTTTAAAAGCACAGTCAATATGTGAATAGAATGAGAAAATAAGAGCAAGATTTGCATGTAAGGTTATTCTCTTTCAAACTGCAACATTTCCGCTTTAGTATAGGAGCCTGGTGCAGTAGTATTCGATTACCATACCTGCTGCATATCACCTGAAAGGCACTCCCAGAACTTGCCAAATGGGGCAGTTCTTGAGACTCTCAGCCCAACTTACCACACAGAGTTGCTGTTGTGAAGATAATGTGGAATTATGTAAGCTGCCTTGGGTTCCTCACCAGGGGCAAAAATGTTAGGATATGGTGATGGTGATAGAAGAGACTACCCCAGTAGTAAATGAGCATTGTTGCATCTCAGCGGTGAAGCAAGCCCCAAGTGTGGAAGATTCATGTTCCCTTTGAAACAAACCTCTGCATGGAAAGATGGATCCCAAAGCTGTGGCACTGTGGAGGTCTCCATCTAATAAAACTTGAACTTAGTAGTAGAGTACAAGCTTTGCATATAGATGGCCTAAGGTTCAATTCCTACCATCTGTAGTTAGAAGGATCAGGTGGTAAGTCATGAAAAGGACTTCTGGTTGTGATGCTGGAGAACACCTGCAAGTCACTGGACAGGATGGTTTGATGGTCTGACTCACTTCTGAGGCAATTTCATATGTTTTTCAAACAATCCTTCACCAATTTTATCCTTACAAAAGACCTGGATTTTATTACTTCAATCACTTTTATCTATATTTCCTTTTTGTGTTATTGTTCAGTTCAAGTTTATCTGCTTAATACAAGTAAAAAGATGGTTTGGAGTTTCTGGCCCTTTTCAAACTTGCTGCAGTTGTATTAGATGTTTGGTTTTGGACTGTGTCCCAACCAAACAGTACTGAGCTTTCTCATCAGTTAAAATCAAACCAGGGAATAATGACCTCAGAATTTAGTATTTTATCACAGAATTTTGCCAATAGACCTACCTAAAGAAAGTGGTAACTTGAAACACTATCACAGAGCCAAGACTTACAAAGGTAAAGTAGAATTTGATCTGATTTTAACTTATCCAGAACCCCCTTTTTTCAGTCATGTTTTCTTAAATCGATTCTGGATTCAGTTCATTTCTCAGTGCCAGCCAACTGAGGAGAGCAGAATTTGGCTTCAGGATTATCATTACAAAGATGATTCGCCCACCCTGAAAAGAAACAGAGCTGCACAGACACATGGGTGCAATCCAGCCAAAGCAATTGTTGCTATCTCTGGCACATCGTCTAGCAGTTGTTGGCTATAATTATTTCAAATATCTACAGGGAAGGGAGCCC